AAGCTAGTAGCTAGAGTTTCTCTGAACTTTTGTTCTTGGAGCGTTCATTATTTTCTCAACCTTTCTCGTGAATGCACACTCAACGAGCTTAACGTAGGCCATTCCCCTTTTATTTGTTTTTTTTTTGTTTTAGCTTGACAAAACTTGGGATCGAAGAGGGTATGGAGAAAGCTCAGAGAACTGAAGGGTGCCACGAATCGACTCTTGAGATTTCGGACTGAAATCATAGCGTAATAGCTTGTTTTTTTTGCAGGTCGGTTTGTTTGAGGATGATTGAGAGAATGCGTACTGGTGAAACTGAGCTAGAAGTTGTGACGAGCTGTGTATGATGAGCTAACAGAGTGACTCGCTATAAGATCAGTGACGAGCTGACAACGATTGGTGAGATTGACGAGCTCGTTTCCCAATAGCAAAACTTTGATAGATGTCATTGTTTTATACTGTATGTAGCTTCAAGAAGACGTGAATATATCAAAAATTCACCGTTCGTTTTGCAATCCCACAGTTGATTATAGAGTTCGACATGCCACCGTGTAGCAGACCGAATATCAGCTTGATCGGAAGTGATTTGAGCCTCCCACGTTCTTCTGAAGATGATGCGTTGAGAGTGGTTTTTCAAAAATCTCAGGTTGTGTAGCTAACTTGTGGAACACTTTTCTGAAGAAGTATAACTCTGATTGAAGCGCCGTAAAGTCCTGTATATTCTATGAAAAGAGATCTTTCCGAAGACACCTTTTACGCGATTTGAATATGTCTGCTCGTCCTGGAATTTACCTCGCAAAACCTTAACCCGCACTGGTTTTTGTTTTGGTTTCAGGTTGCAGATTCTTCAGCGATTTCTTGCTCGGGAAGCAAAGTATCCAAGCGGTTTTTCTGCCATATTTAGGGTTCCGACCAGCTTTTTTTTAGACTCCTGAGCTGATGGTGGTTATGTCGGAACCTCTTTTGCACTCAAAGAGTGTTTAACCTGCTGTTGGTGAATATTAGTAAAGGATATATATGAATCACAGATTCTATATTACCATATCAGAATAGGAAACTATTGTGTATATATATCGCACATATTGAATGAAATACAACAAGCCATTATACAATATTTCATGGTATCAGAGCATAAAATTCTCAGACCTAAATTTTTTACCCTACAATTATTATCGCCGCCGTTGCCGTTGCTATCTTCAGCTACCGCTGCCGCTACAAATAGCCATCGCCGCTTCAACAAGCCGCCGTCGCTACATCTATCAACATGAGTCTCACATCTTCCTCTGAAACTTCAACACCTACCATCACAACCGAAACACCACCATCACCTTACCTCCTTAATTCATCTGACAATCCCGGTGCACTAATCTCCTCCGTCATCTTGAAAGAAGACAATTATGCAGAATGGGCCACTGAACTCCAGAATTCTCTTCAAGCTAAACAAAAGCTTGGCTTTATTGATGGATCGATTGTAAAACCAACTACGAACCCAGAGCTGTCATCATGGTTGGCTGCAAACTCCATGATCATTGGATGGATTCGCACATCTATTGATCCTACCATTCGCTCCACCGTTTCGTTCGTCTCGAATGCATCGGACTTATGGGAGTGTCTTCGACGTCGCTTCTCTATTGGTAATGGCGTTCGAAAACAGCTCCTCAAAGATGAAATCTCTACCTGCAGACAAGATGGACAGACCGTGCTTGCTTATTACGGTCGACTGACGAAGTTTTGGGAAGAACTTCAGAACTACAAAACTAGCAGAGCATGCCATTGTGAGGCAGCTCCGGACATTGCAAAAGAACGTGAGGATGATCGTGTTCATCAGTTTTTATTCGGTCTTGATGAACGGTTCCGTCAGCTACGCTCATCCATTACTGATGTCGATCCATTACCTGATCTTTATCATGTTTATTCACGGGTCATCTGTGAAGAGCATAATCTTAACTCTGCTCGCTCAAAGGACACCACCAAAACAGAGGCTATTGGGTTCTCAGCGCAGGCTGCAATACCATCGCAGGTTGCTGCAGTCTCGGGGGCTCGTCGCGATCGCTCCAGTCTTTTCTGTACTCACTGTAAAAGACAAGGCCATGAACATCCAGAGTGTTTTCTCTTGCACGGTTATCCTGATTGGTACTACGAACAGAACATGACTGAATCTTCTGCTGCATCTTCTGGTCGAGGTTCTTCTACACGTGGTCGTGGGAACAACAACAACAGAGGTGGACGACCACCTCCCTCCTCCAATGGACGTGGGCGTGGCAGAGCCAATACTTCTCGAGCCACTCCTTCTACAGAAAATGGCACTGATCAAATTGCTCAATTGATCTCATTGCTTCAGGCTCAACGTCCAAACACATCATCCGAAAAGCTCTCGGGTAACGGTTATTCTTCTGATGTGATTATTGATACTGGTGCATCGCATCACATGACGGGTGATGTCACCATACTTACTGATGTTACTGACATCATTTCGTCACCGGTTACCTTTCCTGATGGTATCACTTCTTGACGGTTGCCTAAGGCCACCAATCGAGCTTTGTGTCGCTCCAAAGTTCCATCCGAATTGTATTTAAGTTTGTAAACCCATTTACAACCAATCGCTCTCTTCCCAGGCGGTAAAGTTGTAATCTCCCAAGTATTGTTATCTTCAAGCGCTGTGATCTCAAAACCCATTGCGTCACGCTATTTTTTAATAAGAGCGGCCTCCCGATAGTTGCGTGGTTATGTGCCCTCAATGATAGTGGCCATGAACACCTTATGCATCTCTGAAAAACCATCATCAGACATGTGAGAAGTCGGGGACTTCCCATATTTATAGCCGGTTACCTTTGGATGATATGAGAAGTCGAGGACTTCCTATATTTATAGTCGATCAGATTGGTCTTCTATGTCAGTTTGGAATAGGAAAGTTTCCGATAAGACTAAATTTCTGTTTTTCCCGGGTTCGTTCGATAAATGGAAGATTTCTATTTATTTGGCCGACCTAAGTTCTGCAAAGTGGGCCGACCAGAATTTATATCGGGCTTGTAAAGATGGTACGAATCTCATATGTAACATTCACTAAAGATATAAAAATAAATTATATAAATAATTAATTAAATTTCTATATTTATTATGCAAATAAAAATAAAAAGATTTAAAAGTTGAAAGACTAATTTACAAATATAAAAGTTAATATCTATTATAGAAGAAGAAATAGAGTTCTTCTAAATATAGAAAAAAATAGCATTTTTTATTTTAGAAGAAAAAATAGAGGTAAATTGGAAAGAAATTTTTTTTAAACTTTATTTTTTCCTTTAAAATAAAAATAAATCAGAGATGCTCTAACTGCCATTCAAATTAAGAAAATGTTCCAAAGAAAACTGCCATTCGAATTGATTGATTTATTTATTTAGAGATTAGATGTGAAAAAAATATATACAAACATATAATTTTTTTTACAGGATTGATTAAGATATAAAAGTTTATATCAACATATCATAATTTCTAAAACTTTGGAAATGAAAAATGTTCTACAAAAAGTTTTAGATTACAAAAAATTATAATAATCAATTTGGTTTCACCAATCATAAGAGTTTAAAGGTTTAGATTTTAGTGTTTAGAAAAAAGGCTAAGATTTAGGATTTAAGATTTAGATTTTTAGGGTTTATGAAAAGGTTTAGGGTTAGGATTTTAGTATAGTGTTAAAAATTTATAATTTATGGTTTAATTTTGACAAATTCTATTTATTACCTAAAAAGTTAACATATGCTTTTTTTTTATCGTCTTCTGATTATATTGAAATTCATTAAGGATAGAGCAGTTTACAAAATTATCGGGCTCAAATATAACCTATGAACCTAATTACAAGCGATGAACACGTGTACACAACGTGGAAGCAAACCAAAGCAAAGAGAATACACGTGTTTGCCCACAAGAAGAACTATTGCAGTGCTGCAATCACCACCAGTTTCAGCCACCACCGACGCTTTCCAGACAAAGAACCTCCGCAAAACTGCTTAGCTCTTGAAAACTGCTCCTTCCTCTTACATCTAATCGCCGGAAGCTAATTGATCAGCTCAACTCTTTCACCGGAAATGATGCGCAGGGACTCGCTGGAAAAGTGGAAACAAAGAATTTGCGGGACGGCTCCAAAAGACTTTGCTCCAGGAGATGCCAGCTCTACCTACTCCATTCCATTTCTTCCAATACAAACTCCGAAAGTTTGATTAAAAACTTCCCACATAGAGATTCCGTCTTTAACAGTAACGAAGATAATGAATCTCCGGAAAAAAAAGAAATCAAGCATAACTAATGAAAAAGAGAGATTAATTAAAAACTTTTGGAAGTCAACATAACACATACAAAACTTCCGATAAACGGAAACAAACACCTAAACAAAGATCTGGAAGAACCGGAGTTTATTATCCGAGATCGGAAAATGAAAAACAACAAAATCGCTCTCTCCCTCTGAAAGATACGAGAGAGAAGAGAGAGAGAGCGCTCGATATACAGTATGGTTAACATATGCTTAATGTCTTAATTAACAGTTAGACGTGTGCAATATTAAAATTAGCCTTTTCTGTTAAAAAAAAGTAAAATTGGTATAAAATATTATTTACTTAACAATTTTTTGAAATGCGTTATTTTTGCATATATTTCCCAGTCAAAAACGTTATTTTACAAACATTCCTTTATATTAACCTGTTGTTATTTGTAAATTCTAAATGAATCACGGAGTGTGACACGAATTCCTTTCCAAGTGTAAACAAAATTGGTGAGGTTCTTTAGTTCTTGTGACAGAGTATAGTGTTGTGGCGTTACATAATGGAGCACTACTGTATCTACTGACTTGCATGAGACATGTGTTTAGTTACTAGCCATTTTCACTTTATTTTTTATTTTTTAATCTTTCTATGCTGTCAACTGTGAACTAACCAACCTTAATTAAGTTTTGAAGACGATATAGATCTGACGAAAGCAAGTAGGGCTTCTCTCTTTAGCAAAGAAAAAAAAAAAGAGTGAATCTGAGAAAAATGGAGACTACCGTGAGGAACAAACAAGTGATACTTAGAGATTACATAAGGGGTTTCCCTAAAGAGTCTGATCTAATGATAGTCACACCTGTAAATACAACGGAACTCAAGGTTAAGCCTGGATCATCGACGATTTTGGTGAAGAATCTTTACTTGTCTTGTGATCCTTACATGGGGATTCTCATGAGAGAACCGAATCCTGAAGCATCGGCGGTTTTGGTGAAGACTTTAGCCATTTTGGATGCTTTCGTCCCTGGCAAGGTAACAACATCACACACACACTCAAGCACACATGTCACACACACACTCAAGCACACATGGTGAAGACTTTAGCCATTTTGGATGCTTTTGTGCAGCCTATTTCTGGAATTGGAGTGTCTGAGGTGATAGATTCTGATGATCCAGTTTTTGCAAAAGGCGATTTTGTTTGGGGAATCGTCGATTGGGAGGAGTATAGTACTGTTAACTCAATTGGTAGATCCAAAATCGATATCAATGTCAATGTTCCTCTCTCTTACTACACTGGAATACTTGGTTAGTATAATGTCTATTTCCATGGAAATAAGAATACAAAAACTAAAAAAGACTCATATTTCTTAAAAGCTCTGTTTTTACATAACAGGTTTGACAGGTTTAACTGCTTATGCGGGTCTTTTCGAGATTTGTTCACCTAAGAAAGGAGAAACAGTCTTTGTCTCTGCGGCTGCTGGTGCAGTTGGTCAGCTCGTGGGTCAGTTTGCTATGTTGATGGGATGCTATGTTGTTGGAAGTGCCGGAAGTAAACAAAAGGTTAGGATTTTTTTCTGAAACTTATCGATCAAAAGACTTAAACTTTCTGCTTTTTCTTACATTGTTTGGTTCCCTTAAAGGTCGATATCTTGCTAAATAAATTTGGATTCGACAATGCATTCAATTACAAGGAAGAACCTGATCTTGACGCCGCCATTAAGAGGTCTAGTCATTGGTCAGTAATGCTTCTTATAGTTCTGTTTCTTGAATCATAGAGTCACATTTTAAAAAAAAAAATGTTTTTCAGGTGTTTACCGCAAGGTATTGACATATACTTTGAGAACGTTGGAGGCAAAATGCTTGACTCGGTGCTAATGAACATGAAAACTTATGGACGCATCGCTGTATGCGGGATGATATCTCAGTACCATCTTGACACCAACGAAGGGATTCAAAATGTACCGGTTGTTATCTACAAGAAGATCAAGATGCAAGGGTTTGCGGCTTTGGACTTCTTTGATAGATACCCTCAGTTTTTGGAGTTTGTGCTTCCATATATAAAAGAAAGGAAGTTGATATACGTTGAAGACATTGTTGAAGGACTAGAGAATGGTCCTGCTGCTCTTGTTGGAATCTTACATGGGAAAAACGTTGGGAAGCAAGTCCTTAAAATTGCTTGAGAGTGAGATATATCGGTTATCGGTATGGTGATGTAAAATCGTACCAAAATATGCTAAGAGATTCCCTATGGTTTTGCACTAGATAGTGATGCAAAGATTACAACAGGGCTGATAAATTTGTAATTATGTTTTGGATTATATTGGGTTTAATTGTGATATTCTAAACGTTGAACTCAAATCGAGTATGTTCAAAAACTAAGGGGTCAATAATGAAGATTTCATGAAACTCAAGTGAAACCGAGGCCTAATTTATATGGCCAAGATAAACCCTAAACCATCATCTTTAACTGGATATATGAATTCCTTAATGTAAGTAACGTCGCTGTTTCGCTATGCATAAGCTTGTGGCTTACAAATTTTCAAGTCATCATCAACCAAAAAGTACAAAACTAGGAGTCAAAACTAAGAGTCATGAGGAGGAGTGAGGAGGAGAGCATGAAGTTAATGAGACAAGCGAGTTAAGCTCAGCTTAAATGGAGGTTTAAATGGAGGTCAAGATTAAACTTGCCAATTCAACCAAAACTTGGAAAGTATATTCAACTCATCTAGAGTTCATCATAAAGAAGAATCAGTCAAAGAAGATATTAAAGATAGAATTTGGCATATGTTCAATGGACTCAATAGAGATACACGATCACTCATTGAATCATTCCAACCAAACTAGGATGAACCAAGAAAAAAAATCTGTTATTTTAGATTTTAAACTCATCATGACAAAATTCATTAAAATTATTTAACTTCTAAACCAAAGGATTTTATGTTTCCTTTATATAGAAGCTCACGGATTTAATCACTTATAAACAAGACTTTGGCGGCCAGGAAATACATCTAAGCATTCATGAGACACATCCAACCACCCAGAAGAGTCAGTTAGCAACTCTCCCTACACCAGCATTCATAAGATTAGGCGGATCCTATTGTTAGCAAAATTATCATATATGGATACATTCACACCTGATGCCATCAATCACCAACATCTAGTTCTTCTTTGTTACTGCGTTTTGGAGGCTCATTCATTAAACATGGACGTCCCAAGGAATAACACATTCACGCCCAAGTTGTCAACGATCAAAATACACCAAAGACTTTCCCCCATTTCGGCCCAATACCCCCAACGGCTCTTTTTATTTATTGTGCATGATTTGCTTACTAGTTTTTAAGAGTTTAGACCATTCTAAGAACTCAATATAAAGCTTATTAGACCCATTGTACAAATCACCTTTCAATCCAGAATTAATCAAAATACTTTGTTCTTTTTTTTTCAAGTGTGTTTTCTTAAAGAAATGTTCTTTCTTTAGACTTAAGTGTGCGATTCACTAAGTTCTTTAGAATCTGCAACCTATATTGTTTGTGTGCTTTAAACAAAATATTTTATCCATCGATTGAGAGAATCGTTGAACGAGTCAATCACTCTCTGCCCCAATCCATCATGACTTCATTCCCCCTTCCGCGAGCATAGTTTGTTTTCATTAACAACCTTGTGATCCATAAGTTTTGGTGTGATTCTTTTGATATAACACAATTCTGTTTGGGCCAAAACCATGATTATCTACATGGATGTATAGTAAAGCCCACAGCACCCTTTGGGAGAGATTTTGATATGTACCAATTACCAAAAATTCCAAACACACAACAAAATTTCATATGTGAAATGAAAGTAACTTTAGTTATACGAAATTGTATAAACTAACATATATATCTCCAATAGTTGGATATATATTTTAACAAAAACGAAACCTCGCCAGAGATCGGAACTCTCTGAAACTCAATCATCTAAATCTATTCTTATTCTACAAGTGAATTAGGGTTTAGTGATTTTCTCCCTGAAATTGGGTGATCTGGAGATGTCTTCTTGTCGCTGGGAGCCACAGTCGTTGATCCCGTCGCTTCCCGAAGACGTCATCCTTGACATCATAGCGCGTGTATCAAGATTCGAATATCCAATTCTCTCCCTCGTCTCAAAGCACTTCCGATCTCTCGTTGAGTCGCCTGAGATATACGCGAGGCGATCTTTGTTGGGCTGCACCGAACATTGTCTCTATGCTCTCGTCTATGACATCGACATCGGTGTCAACCGTTGGTATATTCTCTGTCGAAAAGCCAATGGCAATAGCCGTTTGGTGCTTATCCCTTCACTGCCTGTTATGCCTCACGGTGGAAGCTTTGTCGCAGTGGGCTCGAGGATATATGTGGTTGGTGGTGTTACAATGAAGATAGGACAACTAGTGCGTTAACCATCGATTGTAGATCTCACACGGCGCAACCTCTCACCAGCATACCTGCACAATCATGTCGCCTAAACGTAACACATTATGCTAAGTTCAAACCGAAAGAGGCCTCACAATGATGTCACACACGAAAACTTGGCTTCAAAGAAAGGTAAGGGTGATGGTGGGAGTTCTACTGAGGCTCACAAAGAGTGGTAAAAGGAGGAAGATAGCCTAAATATTTTAAGATCCATGTGTTCATTTTCAAATGCATAAGAATGATATTTAAAAATTCAAATTAGGGTTCTCACTTATTAGGACAAGTTTCAAATCATGAATGTTCAATTCCAGTCACGAAAATCAAAACAAGTGATCCAAGCATGGTAAGAACTTACTTTCAAAGCGTGAGCAAAGCATTAGAGAACTAATAACTAGGGCATTGAAACAATTCATGAGTTTAAAACACTTTTTTAAAAAACTTTTACCCCTTATGCAAATGTAGACAACCTAGATGCTTAAAAATTCTAGACTCAATCCTAAAATGTTTAACAATGTGAATGCAACTACATTAATTTTTTTGAAAATTTTTTAAAAATTTTACCAATTTTTTCATTTTCTTTTCTATGCTTTAAATGTATGCAAGACTCAAGGGAGAATCTACGTAATTGGAAAGAGCTATTGTGGTGATGACCGGAAGAAGGTAATAGTGGTGTTCAATACAGAAACACAAAAGTGGGAGAAACCTGGGATTATAAAGGCAGACATTGAGCTTGGTTACACGTATTATTATGGTTGTGTGATGATGGCTGATAAGTTGTATATGAAGGATGATGACAACAGCTTTGTTTACGCTCCAGAGGAAAATAAATGGGAAATAGACAAGATGTTGAATTTAATGAAGTGGAACAATGCGTGTGTGGATGATCAAGTATTGTACTTCTTTGATTGTGGTGAGAACAATTTAAGAAGGTATGATCCGAAGAAGAGGTGTTGGGGAGTGGTGAATGGTTTGGAAGAGTTGTTGGCTAAGACAAGACTTGCATGGTGGTCAAAGACTACGAGTTACGGTGGGAGGCTGGCTTTGTTTTTTGACCCTAATGGAGAAGAAGTAAAAACAAGAGAGATTTGGTGTGCGGAGATTTTGCTGGAAAGACCTCATGGAGGAGATATTTGGGGAAAAGTTAGTGGTGTGATATTGTTTTGCCAGGGAAATTTCTCTTGACAAAACTTCTAGCTGTTATGGTTTGATGCAAAAACTCTCCTTCTTTATAACTTGTGTTTTGTTTTTTAATTATCCTAAATCCCTTTTTGCTGATTTTGTTTATGTAAAATGACAAAATAGCGGATTTGAGGGTAATTTTTTACTTTATTTTGAACAAAAGTAGTTAAGAATGCTATGGACTTCTGTTCTCTATACGTAATTGATTCAGAGAGTGAATAAAATGAGAATCGTTCCCTGTTCTTCTGAGGACATTGTCGATAATAACACATGAAAGCAAAAACAAAACTTTCTTCCAACAAATAAAATAAAACTACACCACAGCGAACTAAAAGGAGAATCGTTTCCTGTTCTTTTGATTTTTCTTTGCTGCTCTCACTTAGAAATCAGTAGCTATTATTAGGCTTTGACTTTGTTTTTTTTTTGGTTAAGTCTGATTTACTTTATCAAAGAAAGTCTCACAATGGTTCTGTGCTCAAGATTTTTAACATTTTTCTTTACGAAACTGATTTAATCTTCATTAATGGTGAGTTTCTCGTTGGTATTTTCTTCGTTTCATTTGTGCAAAAGAACAATGAAAAAGGAGTGAAATATTTAGAATTAGATTACTTGTCTAGAAAATAAGATCATGTGCAATACTAAAAATCTTAATTTGAGTATCTAAATATTAAAAAAATCATTATTTTTTCTCTTATGATTTTTCAAAGAAAATAAATAAATAATTAAATGACATATGTTAGAAAAAGTTAAGAATAATTTCTTAGAGCATGATTAATGGTGATCTTTTGAAGAGTTCTAAACAAAAAAAGAAAAAAAGAAAAAAAAATGACATTGCGAGTCTGGGAAACAGGAGTGCCGCTCTGCGCAGAGTGTGTAGAACTGCCTCTTCTATGATGTGGCGATGCCTGATTGGTTAAGTCTTTTTTTTTTTGAAAATCGTTTAAAAATAAAATTAATTTTTTTTAATAATAAAAAAACTTTTAAAACTTCACCTCTCCGCCTCTCCGATACTTATGCTCTTAAGTCCCGTATATAAGAGCTGATTCTTCTCTCTTTCATGATTTTCAATTTTTTAAAATAATTTAATACTAAGATATTACTTAGATAACCAAAAAAAATGCTCGTGAGGAGCTTGGAGAGAAAATAATGAAATATGAAGTGAGTTGTTATTTTGATGATTCGACTATGTTCAGTGTGTTAGTTACTTTTTTCTTGTAGATTCCTACACTTAACCACTAGCCCAAAGCAACGGGTGTTATATTTGGATTCTCCTTACACGAGAACTTTGCTAGCTTTTAAGACAGAAACAACGTGTACCGTTAGATCATTTAAGATTATTAAATTTTGGCTGTCCAGAAAAGGATCTTGCACACGAGATTAAATCTTAAGCAACGTGTATTATCGACTGGACATATCTAAGCTAAAGTCTTTATGTTATCCTCTTGTTTTGTCGTTATATACCATCAGGTTCTTCCCCCTTAATCACTATCTCGTCTCATATTTTGTTTGTAACTACGAAATCTAGTAAGCTGTAACTTAATCTTTCCAGAATCTTTTCGATTCATTTTTTCTGTTATTTAATTGTCATTCAACGTTATTCCAGTTCAGATCTGTCTCTTTCGAACAATTAATTAAATTCACATACCAATTAATTAAACTTCGAACATATAATCTTCTTCATTCCTTATAGTAAAAAGAAATTCCCTATATGCTCTTTTTTTTTTCCTATGCTCATTTGTGTGAAACAGACAGAATGATTGGATACAAATTTTCATTATAATTTCTTAGAAATATATTTCCAAGAATTTACTTCATCCTCCATACGTGCATAGCTTTAGATGGTTCAACCATACAAACTCATGATCTTTGCATATTCGTAAGCCATAACAAAACGTAAAATGGAATTTTGTAATAAGAGCAAGAGATTAGAGAATAGATTTTGATTCATTGTGATATAGTATTAAATTTCAGAGATAATCAACCGTATTAGATTAATCGGTTTTTCTTGTTAGGTTTGCTCTAATAGGTATAATTATAGTTTCCCCAACATACGACAGATTTGGTCTATACAATGCAGTATATTATTTATTTACAAGCGACTGATTCCTAGGTGAAAATATTATTCTGCTTCCGGAAAATTGTTTGCTTGCATAAACTGGTTTGTAAACAAAAATTCAGAAGAACAAAAAAAACAAATTCTCGTTCAAAAAAAAAGTGTTGTTTTGGTCTTTTTTAACACCATTTAACCTTTTTCACTTACCTTATTTAACTATATAATTAATTGTGTGATTTATGATCCACTGTGATTGGAAGTGTTGGCCAACTGAGGCAAAAGACAGACTTAGCTCACGTTCTTCAATTTATTGACCCTTTTTTAGTTTCATACTGTAGTTAATTAAGTTTCAATCATAAGTAACCACCCAAAAAAATCTTGTGGCGCGCACGAGGCTTATTCATTTATACTAGAATTTCTTTTCAAAAGAACATCAGTTTCTTAATTAATCAATTTAATTTAGCGCCGCTCGTACGAAGTCGGTGCCCGAAACCTCCGTGCTACGAAGCCTCCTCATACGTCCTTAATCCATTTTTTATTTGGGCACTAATCAATTGAAGAATGGGTTTACCAAAACCTTAAGCATCATTAAATTCATACAGTTTAAGTATCAAAGGGGAAGTTAACGCCTCGGGAGTCATAACTAATAAATGTAATCTTGAAAATGGGAGAATCATGCACAGTAGCTAGATTCCTACTCGTACATTTTGGTACATGCATGACTTTTCTATCTCATTGTAACAGCGTCATACTTGTAATTAACATCATCGAATATTACCTACTACTATTATACAATGGTGTGGTTCAAATAGTATTAAACTTTTGTCTTTTCGAGATGAGACATGTGATAAAAAAGCTTTTTAATTTTTTTGTATTAGAAAATGAGGACAAACTTTTTTTCTTAGATTCTTCAAATAATTCATCTTTAATGATGTTTATGTTATCTGCACAAAAAGCCATTAATTTTTCTCCTTGTGAATGTCATAGTAACAATTATAGCTTTAATATAGTGTTCTACCAGATTTTGATTCGGTTCCAGTTAGGATAAAAAAAATATTCTTTAAAATAGTTATAATCACAAGTTTCCATCAAATTTGTGATTGAGCGTTTTAGAGATACTTTATTAGAGAATTCGGTTTAATTTAATAATGAAAACTATAGACTTTAGTTTGGTTTAGATTCAATTGAGATTTTTTAATGTCATATTCATATATATATATATATATATAAATAAAAATACTCTGGCTTTTTAGTTGATTTTTTAATCTAACATATATTAAACAGAAAGCATTAGTGGCTTATGTGTTATTATCTCAAAATTTTGAATTTTTTAATCTTAAAAATGATTAAAAATCTAAATATTTTATTCTTGCAACCAAACACAATCTTTCTTGCAACCAAACAAAACTTCTCTCATTATTTATTTTTGTAATGTTGTAAGTAAGTAATTGTTGTTTTAATTAAACCATTATTATTGAACATATAATAAACATGAAACATTTCAGAATTGAATACCACTAATTGATAAATCAATTAATTTTCAAAATTGAATACCATTAATTGATAACTCAACTAATTTCCAAAATTGAATACCCTTAAGTGATAATAGATATTTACAGATGGAAAAGATGCATTTAGAAACAGAAATTTTGAAATAATAGTCATAAATAATTTCATATATAAACAAATCAATTTAAAAATCTCGGAACATATCTTTAACAAACCAATATATAGATTTATCAAAATTTTGTATTCCTTTAGCTAACCTAAGAAGATATTCTGAAATTTCTAAACAAAACAAAAATTAAATAACTAATATCAGAGTTATGAAATTTTAAATTTCGGGCTAAACTTTGATAGTTTAGCACACTTTCTCTTCTCTGTAAATAAAAAATTATATCATATACAATAGTTTCAGCTTGCATTGTTCATCGTCTATAATTTTTTTTATCTTTTGATATTAAAATTTTGGTTACTAATGTTAAATAGTATTTTTTATAGGTAAAAATAGCAAAATGGTCAGATTTTTGGTGGTAATATTTTATTGCTTTCTCTCTAAACATGTAATTGCTTTTGTATTTTTTTTCTTTAAATATGTGTTTTTGTTTTTTTATAGTGTTAACGGCTCTCTTTACTTACTATTATCTTTGTTACTTTATCTTACACCATTATATATGTATATATATAATATATATATAAATCAATATAGTATTATGTACTTTGGAATTTTCTATATTTCATGTATAATTAATATTGATTAGAATTTTCTATCTTCTTTACTGAATTAATACAAAAAATAATACATTTACATGTTAAAAATCTTATACTACAATCTAAACCAATAAAATAAAAAAGAATTGAAGTCATATTTTTAACATATTTACATAATTCTAAAGTGAATAAAACAAATATTAATTTAAAAAATGTAATCCACAATAAATACAAATATATGATATAAAATCAATATATAAATGAAATCATCAATATAAATTTATATAAATTAAAATAAATTAAAATGAAATTAATTTTATAATATTATTTTGCAAACCTTATCCTGCACAATCGTGCAAGTAGTAATCTAGTTCTATTTGAAATGGGTTTATTGATATAATTAAGTTATAATGCATCTTTATTATAATATTTTGGACATAACAATATCATCCAAACTACTCCAAATTTTAGAACACTATCATGACACTGTTTAGTTATATATCTTACTTTTTTACAAATAATTCAATTTTGTTTTAATTGATTTTTACAAATTTTAAAATAACGTATTATATATATATATATATATATCTTTTTGGTATCATCATAACCCGAGCGTAACAGATCCTCTAACTATATTTTTCAACAGCCACCATATTTTCTATAGTAGTTAAGCCCCAGTTGCATAAGTGTTAGTGGTACTTGAATACAAATAACGTACGTACGGTTTAAAATTCAGATTAAGAAAAAAGTCTATAACTGTCAATTAGCAGAAAAGTATCATTAGGCATACTATGATTAAGCACCCCAATTTTACTGCTAGCATATGATTTCAAAAGCTATTAGAATTTGTTTTGTTTTGCTTCGAGTACTGGACCCACAAACTATATACTAGTAGCTGCCTGAACGCGCTTAGCTTGTGGAATACTCTCATTATACGAAAGGGAATATCAGCGAAGAATGTGTATTATTTTAGGTTTTTACTACTAATTGTTATTCTGCATTATTGTTTTGCAGTTTTGGACAGCTCTTCTTCCAACATTTTTTTCTCTATTTTTAATGTTATTGTTTCTCGAAATCAATGCTCGGCTTAAAAAAGTTTACGATGTAGGTTTTGAATTTCATTGACCAATGACGGAAGCAGAACCTTAACTATATATTAGTTTTAAATAATATTTTCAAGAATTATTCGTAAACATCGCCGTATGTCAGTTTTCTCAACGCAGTGTCACACTGCTAGCTGGGCTTGTCCATTGTCTGTCGAGATTTGTAATGAATTTACGACATGAATGTTCGAATCCTTTTATTATAAAAATGAAGAATTCTACTAAAACATTCAAACTCATTTCAGATAAATATATAGAAGCTTAAAGTTAAAAAAAATATATATAAGAAGCCTTTCTGAAGGATTATTTTCTCCGTTTACAAATCTTTAAACGTTTGAATCGAAATGTAGGGTTATATAACAAGACCAGATCGAAAATTAATCTAAACGTTAATTGTCTTTTTCTTAAATTGTACCCATAAACATACATATGCATAAACATCTACACACATGCACACTTAAAGGCTTAATACTTTAATTACAACGGACTTTTAGTCACTTTTGTTGACAAAGTGGCGCATTGATGTGGTAGAAGTTTGTCCAAATATGGAATTAGAAACCTTTAATCAAATATTTCTGAATATATATAGCTGAATAGTAGTAATCGTATTCATGATGTAAATCGCTCATCACTCTAGATTTTAGTCTTGGTCTAAGTGGAATCTAGTTGTTCTACAAAATATTTACATACGGGAATGTCACCACAAACTTCATATCACGGTAACATCGAAAAACTAATCGGTGCTATGCATACGTCATGTAGATACATCAGGTATTATATGTAGTATGTTACATAGGTTTATATCTAATATTTACAAATTTATCTGATGTCTCTGAAATTCAAAATGTACCTCTTACATATTAAAATGTACCTCTTACATTTATTAAAAAAATTCTTATATAGCTAGGCAAGCTAATAGTGTTTTACGTATAAACATATCAAAACGTCTTTTCTATAGATAAATAATAAGAAATCATTATATATAACTTCAAATTGTTTGGAGATGCAAGAAATCGAGGGTTCCCAATTTTTGGTAACGAATTCATTATTAGAAAAAGCATACAATATGTAGTAGTGATTAGTAGTTTGGTACAGAAAAGAGGATAATTCTAAATTGATATTTCTTTCTGATTAATTTGGAAATAATCATATTACTTATTAATAGTGTCATTTATTTATCAAATAATTAGTTTATTAGTTTCTTATAGTTTTTAGTAATCAAAGGATTATACAGCTAAACTTTAAGAAAAAGGGATAGATGTTGACAAAAAAAAGGAGTATTCTATTTTTGTGGTTTGATAGGTAGAGAGATTAATTGAGTGAATATAAAACAAATAAAACGAGCACGAAGATGAAAGCTGCTTAAGACCATTTCCAGTGTATTTCTCCATTTTCTACTCCAAAAAAGGAATATTTTAAATAGATTTTTATTCAATTTTATTATAAATACTTTTTAGTTTTAAAATTTACAAATAAATCCCACTTATTTTATTATTTATAATTTCTTTCAAAAACTATAACTTAAATATTTATCAAATAATAAAAATTACATAACATCATAAAAAGCATATGCAATTTTTATTTAAACATTACTATTACTAAATTTTTTATCATTAATAGTTTTTGTATTTGTTATCTTAATTTCAGCACTTATTATGTATTTTAAAGTTTATTATATTATGTAATTTTTTATAAATAATTGCAGTGTTTAAATATTTATAATTATCAGTTTTATAAATATTAAATAATATAAAATATAATTATTTTAAATCTAAAGGATTAATTTGTAAATAAAAAAGTCTAACTCCAAAATATAGTAGATTTTAGATCTACTCCAAATATGAAATATAATTGAGGTTTACTCTATTTTAGAGTTGAAAATAGAGCAGGGTTAGAGAGAATTTTACTCTAAAATAGCATTTGAAGTTAAAAATAGAATAAGGAGATGCTCTAAGTTAATCACAATAAGAAGGAAGGACAATTCAGTAAATAAAACATATGTATATAGTATACGTATGGTCAAGCTCCCATAATTAATCGCTTTTGTTCACTTTCATCTATATATATAACCTCGTCTTCCCCATAAAAACAACACACAAGAACACAACAAAGAACAAACTAAACAACTAAGAAATCCATTTTTTTTATTGGTTAAAGAAAAACGTAAGAGATTTGTTTGCAAAATAAGAAGATATGGGAAACAGTTTACGGTGTTGTTTGGCTTGTGTACTTCCATGTGGAGCTTTAGATTTGATCAGAATCGTTCATCTCAACGGTCACGTCGACGAGATCACTCGTTCAATGACCGCCGGAGAGATCCTTCAGGCGAATCCTAACCATGTCTTAAGCAAACCATGTTCCCAAGGAGTTGTACGTAAGATCTTGATCCTATCTCCTGAATCTGAGCTTAAGCGTGGAAGCATCTATTTTCTTATCCCGGATACTTCCTTGCCGGAGAAGAAGAAGACGAAGAAGAAAAAGGATCTCCGGCACCAGAAAAGGACTCTTGAAAACAGCAGCAACATAAATAGTGATCATATGGTGAGTACTAATAAGGATCTTGATTTAACGTTATGTGAGAAATATTTGGAAGATGTTATGTTGTCGTCGTCTTCAGAGAAGAATTGTTCGGCCGGTAAAGAGAACCGTCACCGTCGGAAACATAGTCGATCGGCGTCGGTGTCCACGTGGCGGCCTCACCTTGATAGCATCGTGGAGGATCTTAACTAGTAGTTTTTTGTTTCACTCTTCGTTAATCCCATCTCTATTTTCTTTAATTCTTTTTTCTTTTTTAGATCCGGAAAACGGAATTTATTTATATCCCCGGAGAGAATATTTTCAATTTTATTTATTTATTTTCGAATGAAGTTAAAAACAAAAAACTATGTAATGTACTACTAATGTGGATAAGATCTATGTTAAATTGATGATCTAGTTTCAGTCCGTGGGCATGAGGACAAGATCCTAAGTTACGATCATATGTTCACACGCGTTTTATCCGTTCATTTTTTAAGGATTAAAACACGTACGCATATGTAAATTGGATCTTAGGGCAGAAACCAAAAATTTAGTATCAAACATAAATTTCCAAATTGCAGTAAAAAACAATTTAAGGAAATGGTAAAATATTCGGTGTCGTTTAATTTACAAATTTCAAGTTTCATATATTGGTCCAACAAAAAAAAAAAATTCAAGTTTCATTAAAGAATGGTTACAACTTACATGTCTAATAAAATTTGAGGAATAATAAACTAAGATTGATACATAGTACTACTGAGCCAATTAATTCAAAAATACATTTGATGACTTTCTTTGAGCCTTGGTCATTATCGAAAAGAAATTTTATTAAAGCATTAGACGAACTGCATGTTCAACTGGAATGCAACGTATTTAGACCAGTTCGTTTAATTTTAAAGTTTGGGTGGTTAAATATTATAATTATAAATTTGATTACTGATTGATTGGTAATAATGCGAACTCAAGACGGCTAATTAATAAGGGATATAAAGAAAGAGTGTAGACGTCAGTCAATCATGCAGGTTGTCACATGCAGATGTAGCCATGTAGGTGGACCAATCGAAAAGCCTTTGATGCTGAAAAACAAACCAATATGTATGTTTTAAGTAATTTTATAAAATTCTCAATCATATAAAGGGATATGAAATTTTTTTTTTTGATAAAGGGCTACGAAAAGTTAATGCTATTAATGTGCATAACCAAATAATACTTTTCGTTGTAATATATAGGAATTTGTTTCTCTTTAGAAATATCTTATAGAGAAACAAATAAACACATACATTTAAACTGTAATTAACAACTATATGAAATTACTTTAATTCAAAAAATGACTATATGAAATTACTCTGACTAAAAAAAAACAACTGTATCTGAAATGATATATTAGTGCCTCGCCATCAATTTCTCCTTACAGGTTTCTTTTCCTCAGTCATAATAATTTATAGGATTATAAGAATGTAAAGTTGTGAACTAATTGGAATGAACCTTTTTTTTTCTTTTCATGCCAGCATTATTTGGAGGAGACTGAAAAATTGGAGATGGGAGACATCTACAAGTTAAGAAATGGAAAACATTTTTTTTCTTATTTAAACTATAAAGAAAGAAGAAGAAAAATAAATTAAAAAGAAAAGATAAAATGAAAGCTGGCGAGGGCATCTGATTCGGCTGCCTTCACATGGATTCCCATCCTTTATGTCCCATCTCTCCTAAACACCCAATTTTTTTTTGTTCTCACACCCTTTTTTTTAATACGAAATATCGAATTTACTTGAGTATTATTTATTTTTCAAGATAAATATGAATTTTCTCTTATCGTTGATGTAAAACATCATCACTTTCAAAAAGCTTCAATTGACTTAAAATAATAATATATAAGACACTTATGTACTAGAGGATTCAAGATTAACCATCTATTGAATGAATTAACAACTAACCAACAAAAGAAAAACTATTTTTGTAATAGGCCTTTAACCACTTATTTGATCTCTCTTATTAATATATAAATTAAAAATGAAAAAAGAAAACGAACTACAACTATCACATGAATCTTACTGTTTTCATCCTGAGACTCAACTTAATATCCCAAATGCATCTACTCTTACATATTTATAAATATCTATAGTTATGAACTTACAACAAAAAGAATTAATGTTACTAAATCAAAGATTAAACTCACTTAATTACTCTAACTTTTTTCGAGATCGATGGTAGTGAAACCTTCTTCAGCAGAGAAACGTGGTTGGATCTTTGTATCTCCAGTCTTCTGATGATCGACAGGTAATTTATAACTATCGTCTATGTCAAGTGCATCTGCATCCCCTTGCTGCTGATGAACAACGAGCACCGAGAAATGAAAATCCGGTGACGTCAACATATCTCCTATCACACCTAACTCAGGGCACTCACTCCAATCCGTGAGTCCATACAAAACCGAAGACTCTAGGTCATGGTCCCGACCCACTAACACCATGTCATAAGCCTCTCCAAGCGAGCTAATCGCTTGCGTAGTCTCCACGCCATCCCTCACTATCTCCTCTACGTAATGTACTTTCCCTTTGTTCGCTGCGTGGCTCTTGAAGTCGTTTATGAGATTGTACTCGGCCATTGCGCTGTAATCCTCGTCTTGAAGGGAGTTCTTGTGGCGGAAATGTATCATTGTGACGTTAAGCTCCGGGTTCTCAGCCATCCTCATACATAACGCGAGCGCCTCCGCGTCGTCCCTGCCTCCGATGAAGAGCACCGCCACGTTCTGCCACGTGCTAGTCATCAAGACGGAGCGACGTCCCTCGCATTCCCCTCGGTCTATGAATATCGCGACCGAACAAGGTGCTGCTTCAAGCACGTTTAGGTTTATGTTCCTGACGGCTCCGTGGACTAGTCCGACCGTCCCGTCGATCGCGTACTGCTTGTGGAACGGAAGCACGATTAAAGTCGCCTTCTTGTCGAGCGCGAGCGTGCACACGTCGTTGTTTATACTCGAGAAAGGCGAGGCTGCGGTGAAATGTTGCGCCATGAGAGTATTCTGAAGCAGCATACATAGATTTTTTTAAAAAAAATATGTATTATAACAAAATTGAAAATACTATTTTAATTTAGGTTTATTTGTTTGCTTTTGTATGTCTTAACGTTTATATTTGCTATATGTACATTTTCCAAAACCAAAACAATAATAATAATAATTACATTAAGCAAACACATTTGTTAGTTGTAAATGTAAACGCCAAACGCAAAATGAACCATTTCGTTTACTTTTGGTGTTTATGTTTGCACTTTCGGTTGTTTGTTCATCTTTATGTTTATTTTAATATATATATATATATATATATATTTCAAATAAGTTATTAACTCTCTATTTTAAGCAATTTTTTGTTAATGGTAATGGTAAACACTAATTAAATGTAAAACGACCCCAATCATTTACTTTACTTTGCACTTTCAGTTGTTTGTTTGTGTTTGTATATGCATTTAGTGTGTATATTCCCCAAATGAACTAATAAACTATAAGCAAATTGGTTAACTTACCTTTGGACGTTTACGTTTGCATTTTATGAAAATTTGAGGAAAGTTTTACAGAAAACTTTATAATTTGCTTTTCTCATCTCTACGCAGACAAAAGTAGTTGTGTTTGTGTACCTGAAACTTTTGCTCAAAACGTTGAAAGGCAGTGACAATGCGTGTGGATTGGGCCGTGTTTGGGTCAAGATTATTCATCTGGTGGTGCGGCGTGAGAACTGCGTGAGCTCGCCCTTTAAGCTCGACGAGGTGCAGAGTGAAGAACGAGATAGGGTTAAACCGTGTCGGGTAAGTAGCTTCTAGAAGGTTCACCATGGAAGGAACGTTTTCGACGTTGTAAACGCTAAGAAGAAGACGGAGCTGAAGATTGCGTTGTCTCGTGTTGAGGATCGTTCGTTTGCTTTTGCTTTTGTAGCGTTTTGAAGGATCGTAGAGGTAAACCACGAGGAACCGCGAAACCCCCGTTACCATCAAAATCGTTATTATCACCAGATTAAAGCATTCTGTATCAACAACCTGTAAAAATGGAAATCAATGCTTTTTACCTGAAGTTAATTTTTTTTTAAAAGAATTAGAGAAAATTCTTTTTAAAATTTAAGGAGTGTCAAATTAGATTTAGTTAATGTTAAAAAAAAAATAGATTTATTAGTTCCGATTAGAAGAGAAAATAAACCCAAAGTTAAATTCAGTTTCATTTTCTCTACATCTAAACTTAAATTCTTTAATCAAAACTAAAACCGTATCAAAAGGAACAATTTTTTTTACGTTGTTTGAGTTATTATAAATTATGAGAATAGTTATATATTCTGAGTTATTATATATTATATTATTCTGAATTATTATAAATTATGAGAATAGCTATATATTCTGAGTTATTATATATTATATTATTCTAATTATTATACATTAGGCAACGTTTATTTGATAATTTACCTGAGCGTCTTTCCACACGACAGTAGTGTAGACTTCGATGATACCTTGGCAACACATCAAGAACGCCAAACAAAGCGCGTCTCCGATCTGCGTCTGGCAGTAAGCAGACGCAGCCGCTGTTCCTAGGAACTTGCAGCCGTAAGTGATCAAGAGAATGATCTCGATCAACATCACATGGTGCTCATGGCTCTCTGTGATCGCAAAGAAGTTAGTCTGTAACCCACTAATAGCCATGAAACAGGGGAGGAGCATATTCGAAGCAATCATGTCGAGTTTCATAGCGAGTTCCGTCCCCAAAGGTGGTCCATCAGGTAGCGAAACGCCTAGCCAAAACGCTCCAAACGCGGCGTGGACGCCTAACGCCTCTGAGCTAAGGCTAGATATAGACAGAACCAAGAGGATAGGGAAGAACGGAACAACGTCTTTGTTGTTCATAGATTTGCTTTTTCTCTTGGTAAGCCATATGATGAAATGTCTAAAGACTCCTGTGATAATTCCAAGAAGACCTGCGATCATGAGAATCCCATAAACGCTACTCATCGTCCTCTCACGCGTGTAGAGATTAAACGCTAGAGCCACGAACCAGCTACAAGCTTCGCAGACCATCGAGCAGTTTGTGGCTAACCGTCCTAGCTCTGAGTTGAGGATGTTAAGCTCAGCTAACACCGTGGTTGTAACCGGGAACGATGTCATAGAGCTCAAGGAGATCACGCTGCTCACGCAGCGAACCACGTCGTTGGGAAGTCCCATGGTTTTGTTAAAGAAGAAAACCGTGAGGTTCCCAAGGGAGAAAGGGAAGGCGTAAGACGCTGTACCGATGAGGATGGCTTTAGAACCGGCTTTCTTGATAATACTGGCATCGATTTTGAGTCCAAGAATGAAGAGATGGATGATGAAACCGATGTTTGAAAGCGTTTGTAGTATGATCTTGCCTCCAGCGGGAAGAAACATTTCCATGTATGTCACGTTATGTCCTAATAGAGACGGTCCTAGAAGTATACCAGCCTATATACACACACAAGAATGTTTCAAAACGTTTTAATAGCCAAAAACAATCATCGGTTAAGACATTGGAAGTGATATCAGAGAGCTATACCAATACTTGAGCAGAGATCATTCCTTGTTTAAAAGGTTGAAGGAGACGGAAGATAAGCCTAGAGGTGATGATGATGACTGACATTTGAACCATGAGAAGAGGCATTGCGTATTTGAAAGGGTTAGCGTTCATGAAAATGCCTTTTGAGGTCAGCATGTTTTGCTTCTGGCACACAAGCTCCTCCATCATGAATGGACCATGCACTTCGCCCCAATGCGATGAGTTGGTCTCATATCTGCCTAATGTCGTCAAATCCATGGTCTTCTCTTATCTCTAGAAAAAGATGAAAGCGAGTAGAGAAGAGAAAGATAGAGCGAGAGAGTAGATTTTGGGGTCAAAATATGAAGTTTATGTTTTCATTTTTTGATGTGAAAATGTAATGGAGATAATGCATTAAGAATGAGAGATGTTTCTATGTGAAATGGTATGGAGAAGAAAACAGAGGACTCTGTTTTTACTTGGGGGTAATAATAAAGGCTAAGTTCAGACTTTGGTGAGGTCAAAGAAAGAAGACACAGAGAAAGAGAGAGAGAGAGAGAGGAATGTGAGAGAAGAGAAGGATAGATGATCCTATATTTGTTGTTTCTATTTATTGTTTCTTTCTATTTTTTGTTTGGATGATGTTCTTTGCTCAAAATCTCCACCGTTCTAAGTATGTGGTTTTGGTTTCGATTAAAATTTTATTTTATTTTTTTCAAATGGTGTGTAACAAATGAAACTAGTTCACACAATGTGGAGATTAAAATGCTAGAATGTGGTGAACCAATCAAGCAAAAAATGGATTACAACACCGTTATTAATTATTGCTAATAAATCTTGAATGTGAAATGCACACAAGGAAAAGACCAAACACAAGAAACTAAAATGGACTCTCAAGTGTTTAAGGCAAGATGATAATTAAAAAAAAAAACTAGTAAACACCACTCTGTACAACACAAAGCACTGAATGTGTTACAAACAATAAAACAAATAAACAAACAAACTGTAATGAGCACAAAAGAAAAGCCATAGTAAGAGTGTATTCTTCCAATCCTAAATGATAAATACTAGTGACTAAGTCCCAAGAAATGTTATGTTTTCATGAGCGGCGTAACGCAGTTGGGATATCGTGATTGTGTCTTCCTTCATAGGTAGTGAGAACGGCTCTCTCGTCTTCTGCAGATCTTTCTACTTGCTTCCTCACTCCACAACCTTGGTATGTGCACTTGTAGTAGCTTCTGTTTATAACAAAGAGGATGATTAGTAACATGAATAAAACTTACAAGAATTGAGAAATTTAGTTAAAAAGAATTGTAAAACCTTGGATTAGTATTTCCCTTGACAACTTTCTGACCATACTTCCTCCATCTAAAGCCATCTATAAGAACATCAATGTCACTTATCGTTTGAACAACAACTCTTGGTTCTTTCACTCCTCTGCTTACTTCTACTGACATTCCTTCATCTTCACCTTCTCTTTTCCTGTTACACAAAAAGTCAGTTTCTTTCTTTCCTTTTGCTTCCACTAACAAAAAAAAAAACAGAAACTACTTACAGTCTCTTGATCTCAGGATGCTCCTCCTCTTCATCTACCTCACCATATTCCGATTTAAAGCTCTTCTGCTCAAGATCACTGTAGTCAAACGAGATCGAAGAGTTCTCTGACTGATCATGTGTTTCACTAACAACAGAGGAAGGATTAAACATCCTTCTCGCGTTAGCCGATGTAGACGATGTTGCTCCTGATGGTCTCTTGGTGAACTCTGGCTTAGGATGGTTATGACCTCCTTTATAGATGATCTCAGTGATCTGTCCATCAGAAGCAGTCTCAACAATCTTTTTGGAAACACAATTTGGATATGTACACTTGAAGTAACTCCTCGGGTTCTCGCTCTTCTTCACTTGCTTCTGACCGTATTTTCTCCATCCATAACCATCTTTAGAGTTCCTAGTCACCATGTACGATGGTACCTTGATCTGGCGATTCGATCCAAAGCTGTGCGCTGAAACCTCACGAGGAACTGGATCTTGCTTCTTCTGGAGATCTTGAGCACGATATGGTTCTTGCAAAGCCTGGAAAAAAAAAGAAAGAAGGAAACAAGTTTGGTTCAGTACAAAGGAAGTAGTGTATCTGATTGATTTTTGTGAAAGATGATGTCTCAAAATCTGTTAAGGGGAAACGCATACAGAAGAAGCGTTTGACGGCTGCGATTGCGGCTGTAGCTTCCAGGGGAAATCTGAGTGGTTGTTTGTTCCGTTGAAGCCTTGATATGGAAACGCTCCTGTTGTCGGAGATATCAAGCTCTACAAGTAAAAACACAAGACCGAGTAAATCTCGGATAAGTTAGTTTGAAGACAGAACATCAGAGACAATAGCAGAGGATTTGGATTTGGTTTCTTACAAGCTTGAGTAGTTTAAGATATATATAAAAAAAAACATGAATTTCGTTTTTGTGATTTGAAGGAAAAATATGTTGCCGATTTTCATGGATTTCAAAATGAAAAAGGAATAAAATTTAAATTCAGAATAGTCTTTTTGTAATAAAATAGATGCAACGATTACGAAAAATGGAAACTTTACATGTGAGGAGCTGAGAAGAAGAGGAGAATCAAGCAAATCGGAGAACGCAAAATGAGGAGACTGGGAAATCGGAAGCGGAGGCGGTTGCGCCGTCTTGAACTTGGGTAAACCCGACCCGGTTCTCTCCGGGTAATAACTATCACTCTGATACAGCGAAACCGACCCGGAAACACGAAAGTCTTCGTCTTGTTCGTAGCAGTCAACGCCGGAAGAAGCAAGGAGGTCGGTGAAAGAAGTCGACGACATGGTCTGAATAAAAGGAGACAACTTTTTCAAGCTCTCGGAACAAAAAAGGATTTGCTAAAAAAAGAAAGAAAAAAAGACAAAACTTTTTTGCAGAGAAATGATCTATGAAAAGAGGATAAAGATGTTAGAAGAAAGGATTGGGTAAAGACGACGACGGTGGCGTATCGAGCAAGGTTTTCTCTGTCTTTCACATTTTGTCTTTTTCCTGCTTGGCCTAAATATTAACTTTTTGATATTTTAATATTTATATAAATGGTTGACCAATGCCATTTAGATATTCTTTTTTTTTTAATGGGTCGTCTCCAAAAATGGTGATAAATCTTCAGGTGTGAAACCGCGTGTTGAGGGTCTCTTTCGTCATCGGCGATGATTAAGACTAAACCGGGATCAATTGAACCAAAGCATCCAACCGTCGGTTATACATACCAAGTAACAGTCACATCATCAACATCTTAAAAGACAGACAAAAGAACAAAACACTTTTCTTTTCTTCTCATTTCTTGGCAAAAGAGATGACCATTGGGTTCTGAGGAGTGATCTTGAAACCTTGAAGAGCTTGCATAGACATGGAGGATTGAACATCGTCTTCGTATTCCACAAACGCAATACCTGGTTTTGCGTCGATCATTCTTATCTCTTTGAAACCCGGGTACTGCTCGAAGAGATACTGAAGCATCGGGCTTGTTGTCTCGTGTGGAAGATTCTGAATGAAGAGTATGTTGTTTGGTGGCATCGCTTCTTGCCCGTTTGGCTGGAACGAAGGCTTTATTAAGACGCAGAGACAAAACGAAAAACCATTATCATCAGCTCCAGATGTACAATAGAATATAGATATTTATGTTATTGAGAAGCTCAAGAAGGTGAGAACAAGAACACTTACCGCAGGAGCTCCGTTCTGGGAAGTTGGGCCATTAGCCGTGTGTGGCCGTTGTGCTTCTTCACGCTTTCTTTCAACTGAAAGCAACAAATGTAGTTTGTAAAACTTTTACAAGTGAAAGGTTTGGAGTTCATCACTGAATCAAACATCTCAGAGACAAAATGCAGAAAGTTGGAAAAACAAAGTTACCTTTCTCTTCTTGCTTCCTCTTCTTATCTTTCGGAACGAAAGTTCCTTCAGCTTTAGTGATACAATCTGACTTTGCTTTTGCGTATTGTATGCGCTGCACTCAAAAGACCAAACATTAAAACTTTTTTCAAAATATATCAACCTGATTGAACGCAGTTGAATCAAAGATTTTAGCTATACAATGCATATAACAGCTCAAAGATTCTGACATCAGACAGCACAAGAGAATATGATGAAGATGGGACTATAAACATCAAAACAACAGCAACAAAATCTAAACACACATACATAACTGATGAAAGATGGATAAACTCAGAGAGAAACGACACAGAAGATCAATATCAGGAAAATTATAGAGAGATGGATAAAACTCAGAGAGAAGAGAGTTGAAGAAGGTGGTTAGATACTGACCATTGGCTTATCATAGAAGGGGAAATTCTGCATCTGACGAACGGCATTACTAGCAGCAGTGACTTCACTAAACGCAACCCAAGCTTGTCCACGGAGCTTTGGAGTCTTCAAAGCAACCACATCAAGTATCTTCCCAAACTGAGAGAACAAACAGTAAAGAGATCTCTTCAATTCTGGAAAACAAAACCCAATGTTAGATAGAACAAGAGAATGCCCAAAAGCATGAGGTTGATACTCCCCTGAGCCAACACTAACTTCTCGCCTAAAACAAGTATCCATAGAATTGGACTCCAATCGCGAAATCAGAGACCATAAACATAACCTCGTCACCAGATTCCAATACGATTCTGGAAACCCTAAAAGTATAGACTACGAACACTCTACAACAGCTAAAATCTAACGATAAGCACTGTAGCAGCTGGATTAAGCTGGAATCGAGAAAACCTAACGGGGGAATTGTTCGTGGAAAGCAGCTCACGGATGTTTCAAAATCTACCGAGTTTTCGAAATTAATTGACGAATTGCAGATAGAGAGAAGAGAAGTCACCTTCTTTCTTGACCTTCTCATTGAGGTTTTGGATGTAGATTGACTGATTCGGCGGGATATCTGCCGTTAACATATTTCGACAGTGCACCGCGAAGACGATGACGATTCCGAGACTGAGAGAGAGATTTAAGCGAGAGACCTAATGGGGAACGAAGAGAGACCAAAAAGACGAGTAAAATAATTTTCCACTTTCAGTTCCAGACTCTAGAAACGACGCCGTCTCGCTTCTTGTTCGACGGTTTTTGGTTTATTTAAAATCTGGACCGACCGGACCGGGTTGAATTCGACCGTAAGTAACCGGATTGGGTTTTTCTGAACTCAAGGGAGAAACACAAAATATTCCACCAAAATTATAATCAGATGATAAAACTCATCATCATATCTACAATTCATCATGTGAGAGCCGATTGAATCAAAAGGCGTTGAGGATGCAATGTACGAAAACAATTTTTTTGTCATAATTTTCTTTACAGTGAGAAGAAATTGAGGATTTCTTCAGTTTCTTCCTTGAAGAAACACAGCGACCATTGCGACAACTAGAGAATGATCAATGGATCCTGGAAAAATCGTTAGTCGGAACTTGCTTCTCCCTACATAAATTTGCCTCAGCTTGTACATCAAACTCGTCTGCCAAAGAAACAAAAAGATTCACACTGAGTGAAAAAATAAATCTTCACAACGTTTCTCAGAATCCAACAAAAATCTACAAACCAAATGAACAAAGAAGTGTTGAATGTGTTTCTACAATCTGTAAGGCTATATATGCTTCACCATAACTTCATCTCAGATAAGCGTAATCTGAATATGGACGAGTTTGTTTTTACCTGTGCAACAATGGAATCTTGACTGTAGATGGTACATGATTTCTGAAAGGGACAACCTTTGATGACAAGATGTTGCAACGATTCTCCAGCAATATTGTTGCCTGCAAATGAGACCTCTAACTCTGTTTTTCTGAATCTGTTCGTTGTCCGCTTCACCGTAAGAACCAGCTCCTTACGCTTCTCCACACCTCCTTTATGTAATTCCCACATTCCATTCTACATTCCAACGCAAATGTGATGTCTTATATTACAAAGTCATGACTAAAGTTTCTCTGTAAACACAAACATACTAACAAAATCCAAACAATTAAATATAAAATTTCAGTTCTTTTAGAATTTCACATGTACAATTTGTACATCCATCTCCATTGATGTGTCATATGTTCGTATGTAATGTATATCTCAAAGTCTTGGCTTAACTCTCTCTGTAAACACCAAACAGACTAACAAAATCCAAATAGCTGAAAATGAAATTTCACATGTACATCAATCTCCATTATCATTGTCAATTATCTAGGAAACATATATGCACAACGATTCTAAGAAATGCAACATGAAAAATTTATGTGGTCTATGTAATTCAGAAATTGGTTAGAAGCTATTGCAATAAGCTACAATGGGTTTTAAAACAAGGAACTATAAGAGAAGCAGAACCGATAAAAATGGGATCAAATCGCGGAATTATAGTGCTTACGTGGAGACGGGAGATGGAGAAAAGTGGAACCCCGGAGGAATCAAGGACGAGTTTCAAGGAAGAAGAAGATTTTCGGAGGATGAAGACGAGATTGTCGGAGGAATCGGCAAAGCCGAGATCGCCAGAGGAAAGACCGGGAAGCTTTTTGGAGACAAAGAGGTCGACTGGTATTCGCCGGAGATCCTCGGCGTCCGGGTGATAGGGAGTTTCTGAATCCGCCATTAACATATAGTCTAATTCTTAACAGTCAGAAGCGAAAGGTAGAAGAAGAAGAAGAAGACTATGACCAAGTAAGGCTGCTTATGTTCAACGCTAAGTTGTGTTTTTTTTTTTTGATCAACCAAAATTTTCCTAAACACGCTTTTATCTCTTATAGTAATTCTGATAAGAAATCGTCATCACATCTACCAACTTTTTGGTTAGTTTTGGTTTAAACAGTGGAGGAACAATTTTGATTCACAGCCTTAACACTACAGTCTTTTAAGATCATCTTCGTTTGGTATACACAAAGCTCATGTAGTGTACTCAAACTCTTCATCGATGTCTCTATAACCATTCACATCCTCTGCATAACCATCAAACTCGTCGTCTCCAAGGACCATTCTCACATGTCTTTCTGCAGCCTCCTCGTCTTTTGATTCATCAGAGGCTTCACTCTTCTCTTCCTCATCATCATCATCATCCTCTTCTTCTTCTTCTTCATCTTCTTCATCCTCCTCTTCAGAGGACTCTTCTGGATAATCGTTCCTTGGATGAGCTTCAGCTGAGCCACACAAAGATAAAACAATCACACTTCTTTCTCAACAGTAAAAAATATCAGGAGCAAAGAGATCATAGTACTGTCAAATGAAAACAATTCCCCATTTGATTGCAGGGAACATGAAACGAAAAGTATGAAAAAAGCAGAACAAGCATTTGGATGGTAAGTGTACCATTCGAATCATCAGAGTCGTAGTCTGATTCATCAAATCCATCGCAGAACTCTTCTTCCTCCTCGACTATGACACTGCAAATAAATAAAATAAAACCCGTGAACACAAATTAGCAAGTGACAAAAGAGACAAACACGTAAAAAGTAGAAACACTTGTCAGAGAGAAAGAAAGACAGAAAAGATACGCACAGAGGAAACTGGTGCGTAGAGCTGTCTTCACTGATATCCATCTCATCGTTCACAGCATAGTAATCATAAACGTATTCTTCGGTATGAGTAGAACGTATGTCAGCTTCAATCTCTTCAGCTGCTGTTGGAATACACTCTCTAAGGAGAGGCAAGAAACTAGCCAGCATCTTCTGGTCCTCCAAGGATGTTAACCTAGAGGAAGAGAGAAAAACAAACCTTATAAAATATACTGTGGTTCTTCAAGCACAGCTTAAAACATTTACTGACTCGGATCTCAATTACAAAAGAACATACTCTGTTGCATTGTCTGGTCTTTCTTCAGCATCAACACGGATAACGTCATAGAATTTACATTTCTCATGAAGTTCTTTATCATGGATGCCTTCCTCGTTTCCCTTCCTACTCCGCCATATTTGCTTAAACCGAGCATTCTGTGCAGCGGTCTAACAGATAGTGGAAATTTTGATCAAATTTGATTACACAAGTCTCGAATTAGATAGCTAAAATGTTTGCTTAGGATCTTATGCTAAGATGTTAATATCTGTATGAAAGACATGTTCATGACCAAGAGCTAGATACCTGTTGTTGTTGTACAGCTTTTGTCAGACGCTGTTCCTTTCTCTGCAGGCCCAAAAAAAGGAAAGGATCTTAAGCTTTTCATTCAAGACAGAGAATCTGGAAACATGACTAAAAACACAAGATGAAACAACAGCATACATTGTCTTTCTTGAAAGCAAATTTCCGCTCCTCAGACTTTCCTTTACTGCAACTGTTCTCATTAAGATCAGACTCCTGAAGAACACACACAATGACGACAATCAGAACATACAAAACAACAACATGCAAGGTTTATACTTTCACCAAAAAACAAGACAAAGTTCACTCACAAAGAAAGAATGGATAATGTCAGTCGTGGTTTCAGAGTCCGTGACTGTCTCCAAATGCCGCACTAGCACCTTCTTAGGCTTCACATCCTCTGCCACAGATGAACATATATCCTCATGAACAACATTCAAGTTTCACTGACTACAAACCATTATTATCTTAATAAAAACCACAAAAGGCCTGAGATGATGTAAATTGTAAATTACCTTTCTCTTTTGAATTTGAAATAGAAAGCTTTGATAAGTCCAGAAACGGCCGTTTGAGTGGTCTTTCATTTATCTCCAACCCTAATTGCCATAACCATTTCAGCTTTCCTCCTTCCACGCAATAGAGCAGAGAGAGAGAGAGAGAGAGAAAAACTTACAGAAAGCATCGAGTGGAGACTGCCCTACTTTACGCTTAACCCTAACAATCACAGGCTTCTCTCCTGCCTCATTCCGAGTCGAAGAGCTTTCACCCACGGCAGCCATGGTGAAACCACCGCTGATTCAAGAATTCTACTGTGAGGATTGTTCTAAGCAGAAAAACAACAAACAAATAAACATTTATTCCTCAGCGCTTCTGTGAAATTCGCAGCTAATTCATTTGCTTCTAACATTGAGAACAGAGACAAATAAAATCCAGCTAATTTCGTGATAGTGCAATATTGTTTTGGAGACGGGAGAAGAAGATGGAATACACAGAGAGAATCGCGAAGAGAGAGAGAGAGGCAAGTCGCATACCTTCGAATCTTGGTCTGCTGAGTTTCCGGAGTCGGAGTCACAGTCGCCGGAAACTTCAGGGTCAGGGTTCTGGTCGCCTGAGACGAAGAGAATGACTCGCTCGCACAAAAACGCCTAGACAGACTGATCAGCCCTAAAATTTAATTAACCGATTGGATTATATCGGTTGAAAAATCCCGACCCACCTGAATAAACCGTAATAATGAGTCCGATTGAGTTATTTGGGATACCCGAACCCGCCCGTGAATTCGGTTGGGTTTGCTTCGGAATCTTGCCCACTAAATAAAATCAAGATACTGGGCTTTATGAGCCCATAAAACATGGATCATATACGGGAGAGATTATGTGAAATGCATATTAGTCTAGATACTGGGCTTTATTGGGCCAATAAACTAAAAGATGTTTTACGAGTGACGACCATATGTAATATGCATGATGATGTTGGTTAGAAATGTAAATTACACCAGTTTAGAAGTTGATAATCTTTTAACGAGGTTTCCTAAATGGAAATCATCGTTTTAATTTCGTTTATTTGGTTCAGTTATTAACTTATTATCATGGATTATGTATTTGATGAAAGATGATGGAGAGGAAAATTGTAGAAACTATTACTTATTAAAGCTCTTAACTGAGACCTCTAAATTCTAATATTATCTTCGTAACAATTCAAAAACTAACTACAGATGTTAGAAAATAGCCTCTTGACCCCCTCCCCCCCCCCCCCCCCCCCCCAAAAAAAAATTCGAAATTTGTTAATAGTAATTGTTTAACGTAAGGTAGTTAGAAATTATTTAGTTTGGCGATATTAATTAAATGTATTAATAGTCTTCGAAAAAAACTAGAGGTGAAGATAAGCCGAAATGGCAACTGGAGTAACACTGGAGTTGGTGTCGACGTATGGAAATTATTGGAAATTATCTGATGAAGAACGGACAGTTGGAACATCAACCTACGAGATACGACTTCTTTCCTTTTTGCTGTCTTTTATAAGTTTTTATCATTCATTTCTCGTATTTTCTTCATATTTTATATTTCAACAGTTTTTGTAATTTGAATTTATGATATACTTAGATTCCCACGTTAGAAATCGTAGGGACAAAGTGACTATAGGCAAGAAAGTTGGTCATTAACCTTTGCCATATGGTGTGCTTTACCGAGAAACAAGGTCATTAATTAACATTTCTTAAAACGTGAAAGAGAATGAAATTGTATCAGACACGGTTTACTACAATTTAGTTGTGAACATTATATAATTTTATTGTATATTTATATGCCAATTGTGAATTAGTAAATACTCTATTATGTATATCAGGAATTTGAAATTGAATCATTGTGCGGCCGTACAAATTAATTGGGTAGACTTTATTTAAATATTAGTTGAATAAAATCTATCATTGTGTAAAGTACAATTAAATAAATGAGCAAATGTAGCGTTGAATTATAGCGTCATATTTATTCCTTACAATACGTGTTTTGTTGTAAGTATTTCTAATAATGTTGAATTTATAAAATTTAAATGATGCTTCTATATATTATTAGTTTATTATAATATATCGTATAGTTGAAGTTTAAAACTTTAAATGAAAACGAAAAAAAGAGACGGCCGGAAGTAGCAGTTTATAACTTTAATTTGTTATTTCATCATCATAATTTAAATTTAAATTCGATATATAGCTTATCTACATATTACATACTACGGGGAAAAATGCTGACAAGATATTTTTCAAAATTTAGGAATCATCACAAAACAAAAATGTAAAAAATCAAATCATGTTAAGCTAAAACGAAGAGATAAAACAAAACAAATCACTTCTCAGTTCATCGAGTTCCACATAACCAATGGTGTTGCGCGATTGCTCAATGCTGTTTATGTTGAAGATGCATTAGCGGACACATAGCAAACAATCAGAATTTTACAAGAGGACTAAACATATTGATATCGATTGTCACATGACTATTGACTAAAAGGGTTTTCAAACTTCTTCAGGTTCGGACAGAGTTACAAATTGTTGATGCTACACAAGAATTATAATAGGCAATATGCGAGTTTTTAATATCTTCTTTCCATCATAAGACAAAATGTCAATGTACGTAATGACGCATATGTAATTTTAAAAGCTTCTAATGAAAAAAAAAACCAGATTTCACAACTAGCTACTTATGTTTTCTCTGGTAACACTCACGCCTAATGTTTTTCCTAGATAGGCTTTCTATCTAATTAGTGACCTCCCTAACTCTCCTATTTTATTTTTCTTTTCAATTACTCATGATTCGCAGAAAAAATAAAAATTACTCATGATTCAGTTTGTTTTTTCTTTTAAATTATGAGAGAGTAATTGACTATTTAAAAGCCAAAGTTTCCTCCATAACTTGGCTGAAAATGAACGTGGATAATACCAAGCATGTAGCTAAGAGAAAAAAGAAGCTTAAACCAAAGCATGTATATATCAACAAATTCATGTTGTAGGTATGTCCCGTTTCCTGATGATTACTTACACTATGTATATATACATATACGTAACTTTATATTTAAGAAAGATAAAACTATATCAGGATTATATACAAATCTTATTCTTTTCTTTTTTCTTCTTCTTGATGTCAGATTATACACAAATCTATTAACTGAAAAAGGTATCGAAGCCCTGTAAAAGAAAGTACAAGAAAATCTAGTTAATTATCTCTACGTAAGATTACCTTATCTTAATTTAATTTGGAGAAGTAAAATAGAAGTTCAAATAAGATAGAAGTCTAAAGTCATTTATAAATTACTGTAGATAGGAAAAGTACAGCGATAGTAATAAAATAACTAAATACTAAAACAAATTGCTAAAATGTTAAAGCAAATGTTAAAAAAGAAAAAAAAAAGGGCAACATCAGCACTAATTTATAGTTAATATAAACCCCAATTTCCTCTTCCCCTTTTCTTGATGACTAAACTAACCACACTTTCCTTACCACACAACACTGAAACAAATTACTTGATTGTTCATAAAATAAAATAAAAGTCTAAATCAATTATAAATAGGAAAATACATAACCGCTAGGTAAATACTGAAACAATTTACTAAAAAGTGAAAGGTAAAGGCAGCATCAACAATTTATTTTCCGATCCTTACCACAACACTAAATAAACATAAAATCAACATAAAATAAAATATAGATAAGTCTAAATCATTTATAAAAAGGAAAATACATAACCACTAAGTAAAAAGGGGCAACATCAACATTAATTCGTTTACACGTCCCCCTTGTTCATTTTTCTTAATTAATTACAATAAACTAACCACAGCTTCTTTCTCATTACAACAAAAAAAAAATAGAAAATAATATTGAAATTATAAAAATCGAAACTACAAATCTCAGATATAAATACAATCCCCCTGACGAGTGAATCTACTCAATCTTTCACAATCTCTGTTTCTTCAACCGACTTATAATCACTCTCTCAAGAAAACATGTCTCCGAACGTTCTCCGGTGGGTTAGCCTCGTCGCTCTTCTCTGGCTTCAATCTCTCAACGGCACCAACTTGAGTTTCCCTGCTTACTCTTCACAGCTCAAAGAGTTCCTCTCAATCTCTCAGTTTAAGCTCAACTACCTCTCTTTCGCCTCCGACGCCGGAAAAGTCCTCGGTTTCATCTCCGGGATCGCCGCTGTTCATCTTCCTCTACCACTCGTCCTTCTCGCCGGAGGTTCTTTAGGTTTCGCCGGCTACGGTCTCCAGTATCTCTGCATCGTCAAAAAGATGTTCCCCTTATCGTTTTATCAGATCTGGGGCCTGAGTTTCTTGGCCGGAAACAGTATCTGCTGGATCAACACGGCTTGTTACATCGTCGCCATTAACAGTTTCCCGGTGAATCGTCAAGTTGCCGTGGGGATCACGGCCAGTTATCAAGGTCTGAGCGGGAAAATCTACACCGACATAGTCCACACGTTCTTCTACTCGTCTCAACGCGAAGCCGCTTCGGGTTATCTTTTGCTCAACTCTCTCGTTCCTTTGGTCGGTTGTCTCGTGACGGCTCCTATGTTGACGAGGCAGGTGAAAACGACGTCGTCTTCGTCTTCTCGGGATGTTAAAGTCGGGTTCGTGGTTTTGTTCGGCGTGACTATAGCCACAGGGGTTTACGCGGTGGCTACGAGTCTTGTCCCGCTTCCTGCGGTTTTAGTACTCGTAGGCATTGTTTTGTTTCTTCTTGCTCCTCTCTCTATTCCTATTGGAGTTAGGTTAGAAGAGTTTATGTCCTCTAGAAGAAGTCAACAAAAGGTACATGACTTGGAAGCTCCTATTGAAGAAGATCTAACGAAAGAAGAAGAAGAGTTTGATGAGAAGGCAATAGTAGGAGTTAAAGAAGAGGTCGAGTGGACAAAACTATGGAAGAAACTCGATTTTTGGATCTATTTTGGACTTTATTTGTTCGGTCCAACGGTCGGGCTAGTGTTTATGAACAATCTTGGTCAGATCGCTGAGTCTCGTGGCTGCACCGCGACCACTTCTTTGGTTGCTCTCTCGTCTTCTTTCGGGTTTTTCGGCCGCTTGCTTCCTTCGTTGCTCGACTACTTCTTCTCTAGGTAAAATTACTTAGTTTTTTACCCTTTTTATTTATTCGGGAATTTTTCTACTAATTAAATTTATATTTAATCAAATTATTCCTTAATAATACAACTACGTTGACCTAGCACGTATATACACATATGTTGCATTCCTTGCATCTACGTGTTTGGTCTAATTCATCGAACAACCTTAGACAAATCGACACCTTCTTTACAATTATTTTTCCTAATTTCTCGGAGTTTATTCTAACGCTATTGTTTTATATTCATTACAGGAACAAATACATGGCATCAAGTCCGGTTTCTATGGCGGTTTCACTGGTAGCCATGGTTGCTTCGTTTCTCCTCCTCCTCATTGACTCCGACATTGCTCTCTACATCAGCACGGCGATGATCGGCGTATTCTCCGGAGCCTTGACTTCTCTCTCCGTCACAATGACCGCAGAGCTTTTTGGGACAAAGCACTTTGGAGTCAACCACAACATTGTTGTCGGAAGCATTCCGATTGGTTCTTTCACCTTCGGTTTATTAGCCGCCAAAGGTTACCGCGACGGAGCAGCTAACTCCTTTGGTTCTGACGGCAAGTGTTTTGGGATGCTTTGCTTTCAAACCACTTTGATATTTTGGGGAATGCTCTGTTCCATCGCTGCCGTTCTTGCAGCCGTTTTATACGTACGCAACCGCAAGTTCTACTCGCAGAAGCCGTAGTAGAAGAAGAAGAAGACACCCAACAAATTTTGAAGGAGAAAACGCAGCGTTTTCCGTCGGGTATTCACGCAAGCTTTAACTTCACCAAAGGACGCAATTTTTTTTGGGTACTTGGTACCAAACGAAATATTTTTTTGTATAGTTGTGCGTTTTGCGTTAAACCGATGGTGAGAAAGTAAATGTTTTTGTATATTGTAGACATGCAGTAAAAACTAGATATCTAGAGATATAAACAAAAGGTTGTAAAGATCGAAACATTTTTTATAAAGATCGAATTCTTTTACAAAGATTCGTTTTTTTTAATTCTTATAAGTTGTTGATAGAAAATTCAAATATTTCCTAGATGAGTGTAAGATCATGTATGAATGTTGAAGGATTTAAAACGACTTTGTTTGAACATAAGTAGGAAATAGGACTTGACGAAATTTCGGGTGAGTCCAATTAATATATCTCAACATAATATTCTGTTGGTAGTAGTAGTTGTTGATGTTCTGTGGCTCGAACGTGGGTCCAAGAATTTTGATCATGCGGCTGTTATTTTAAGTGATTTTAATTATGATGTGAACACATTTTATGGGACCCCAACACTCATCAATACGTTCGCACCTAAATCAAATTATTTGTATTACTCTATGATGTCCATATTTTTTTTTGTTTTATGGAAAGTGACTATTAGACGTCAGTTTAAACATTTTGTGAGAGAGAGACGACGTGAACGTATTCGCCCACAAATAGGCCACCGCAATATATGGTCGAGATCAAGACATGCATGTTTTACGCAGAATTTAAGATTTGAGCTTCATACCTATATAATGTATGGTATAAAGAACTAAAATGTGGTCGCTAATAATAAAATATTCAAGAATATGGTGTAATTTTGCTTTGTTTTTTTTGTTCGATTTTCATTGGGAACACTTTTGCTTCTACTTGGCTAGTCGAAATTAGATCATGTTTTATATACATTAGAAATTCAGCTGAGTAAGTTATTCGACAGATTCACTGATCTTGAGGACAGGTGTTAAAAACATGTATCACCTCCTGATTATGAAAAAAAAAAGAATATATAACATAAAAACATTTTGTATTCAGTTATTGAAGCGTGTGACACTTGTTACGGGAACAAAATTTATATTTAATGTGTTAAAAAATCGTATTAGCTTCGTCGCATGTAGCATGGTGATTTATATATTATCAACAAAAAATTCATGGTGATTTATATATAGTCCATTTTTGTCGTCGTGTTATATAACTCTAATAATTTAAACCCGGGAATGTGTACGAATTGTATTAAAAGAAAGATGATACTATCTTATTTGTTGAGGTCACATATCGTTTACTAAGCCAATATAAGCGATAGCTGCAATGCATGAGATTTTAGCATAATAATATGAAAATCCAATCATTTTGTTCAATTTTCAATGGGAACACTCTTGCTTCCGTGGAGTAAAATAGTCCAGATTTTAAAAGTTAAGATATGAATAATTTTCAACCAAGTGTAAATAACTTGAAGGTAGAAAAACGTATCATTCTTTTAGTTCTGTTGTCATGATCAATGGCTAACTCCACGGAACAACTTACAATAAATGATACCATACGTGATCACTGAGGAGGCCCGGCAAATTTTACACTCACAATTTTGAACATCTGATGTATTTTAATCTGATTAGGTCTGTACTTACAATGTTGGTCAATCGTACTCTAAACTCAAGAGAAAGTTTTAAGGATTTAACCAAATTGCATACGGTCCTTAACATCACTACTAGCATAGAAGGATAGACCCGTTGTATTTAGCCAAACACATTACAAATTCAACAACAGTACAAACAACAAATCAAAATAATTTTCACAATGTGTACATCTAAAATCATAGTTCTTGGTCTCTTCGTTGCAACATTCATAGCATCTTGCAACGCGGCCGCAAACGTCACACCGCAACCGCTTTTCCCAGCGATTCTAATCTTCGGTGACTCAACCGCAGACACAGGCAACAACAACTACCATTCACAAGCCGTATTCAAGGCTAAGCATCTCCCTTACGGAGTTGATCTTCCCGGGCACGAAGCTAACGGAAGATTTTCTAACGGAAGCTAATCTCTGACGTAATCGCCTCCAAACTCAACATCAAAGAGTTTGTTCCTCCGTTCATACAACCGAACATCTCCGACCAAGACATTGTCACCGGAGTCTGTTTCGAATCTGCTGGTGCGGGTTACGATGACCAGACCTCGCTCTCGAGCAAGGCGATCCCAGTCTCACAACAACCATGCATGTTCAATAATTACATTGCTCGTCTCAAAAGTATCGTAGGAGACAAGAAAGCGATGGAAATCGTTAACAACGCTTTAGTGGTCATAAGCGCAGGGCCTAACGACTTCATCTTGAACTTTTACGATATCCCCACGAGGCGTCTCGAGTATCCTGATATCTATAGTTACCAAGATTTTGTCCTCAAAGGGGTTGACGGTTTTGTCCGGGTAATGTCTAATATACTTTTGTTTTCTTGATTGTACCTGGAGGTTAGTCTTTGTAGGTTTGAGACCAATTTTGGCTATTTCTCATGTTGATTCTTTGGCTCCTCTTGTATGTACAGGAACTTTATAGTTTAGGTTGCCGGAATATTGTGGTCTGAGGATTGGCGCCAATGGGATGTTTACCGGTCCAAATGACCGCTAAAATGAGAAATGTTCTGAGATATATTGTGTGGAACAAGAGAACAAAGAATCTGTCGTGTACAATCAGAAACTACCTGAGATCGAAGCCTCTCTACCAGGAAGCAAGTTCCTTTACGCCAACGTCTATGACCCTGTGATGGACATGATCCAAAACCCTAGCAAGTATGGTATATATCATTTCTTCCTTGTCCCGCAAGTTATCAAAACCTAGAGAAAAGGAAGGTCACCTGACCTACCTTATATATTAGATTTTAAAGTTTTATGCTTGAACAATATAATAAAAGTGGCTCAATTGGTTAGTTTCCTATGTTTAAACCTCCTAAACCCAAGTTCGATCTGCCCTCAATGTAGAGAAAATAATAATATTATTATTTAATTATATTAAAATTAATTTATGACCTATGTAAAAATATTTTCTGGGACCGCCACTGCTTACCTGCATCTTAATTCATGGTTATAAAAAAAATGGAAACAGGGTTCAAGGAGACGAAGAAAGGATGTTGCAGAACAGGTTACTTGGAAACGAGCTTCATGTGCAATGTTCTTTCAAATACATGTCCGAATCATTCGGATCACTTGTTTTGGGACTCAATTCATCCCTCGGAAGCTGCTTACAAGTATCTTGGCAACTTTGTGGATGCTCAGATTCGAGAGTGGCTTAAGGCTTAAGTCACTACAGTTTACTAAATTAATGACATAAATTGTAATTTTGTTTTGGAAATGACCAAGGCACACCTATGGTCCTATGGAGATATATGTATTTAATACCATACAATACAAAATATCCCACTTAATTTCCCCGTTATTATTTGCAGTTTTGCACCCCAAAAAAAGCAAATCATGAAGTGAACTACGTAGGTTGACTTTATTTGGATCGTATTGGTTGGACTTCTTGCTCATATCATTTTTGATCATGACTTTCATATGATAAACTGACAAAATTTACATATTGCCAATTAAATTGCTATCTAAATCCAACCGACCCAATAAAAATATGTAATGGATATTGCTGATTTAATTATGTGATTTTAGCTCGAGATAGAGCTATCATCTCCCGAAAACGTGTTATTATTCTCACATTTAAAATATGATGAAAACTAAAATAATATATAATTTACATGCACCGATCATCAAATTACTGATTGATTGTAAATTAAAAATTCATGAAACTTTAATAATAAGTTACAGATTTACTGAATCAAAAACAGCTGACCAGCCTGATCCTAATTCCTAATCCTAATTTAAACTGGATCGACTAGCTGAACCACATTGTAAGAAAACAGATGAAGTTTTTTTAAAAACAAAAGTAAAAAAAAAAAAAAACCCTTAACACTGGGAGTAGTTTAGAAAGAATGTTCTCCAACTTACCGTATGAAAAGTCAATAAATTCGAGAAAGTTCGAGTTTAATGAACTTGACAACGACAGTTATTACTTGTTAGTCAAGAAAGATTCAGTGAATAGATTTGATCAAAAAAAAAAAAGATTCAGTGAATAGGTTACACGTCTTCACTTCATGTACATGAAATGTAACCCAAACATTTAATTACTCATTGCTTGCTTACCAACTTAATTGATTGTGATTTTGATATTTTATGATGGAAAACAAATAAATCTGACGCATGAGTGCCGTCAGATATGATGCCATAGAGAATAGATCTGTCTCTATCTCCATTTTTAGGACAACAAAAAAAAACTTCCAATTTAGGCAAATATCATGCATCAATGTTTTATTTCTGGTGCGTGTTGTTTACTTTATTTATATACACAACCTCTATTATTTCTTCATCAAAAGTCAAAACCGCTCATATGGATAAACCCACATATTGATACAAATGATACGAAATCATATTTTTAAAACAATAACCTACATTTAATGTTGAAATAAGATAAGTTTAATGATAGCCAAGAAAATTAGTTAGTTTACGGAGTAAAAAAAGTTAATGGTTGATAGATAGATGGAGTACACATTTTGATTTAAGAATTAATGCCCATACAACCAAATAGTATACGAAATTATACAAACAAACCGAACTAACAATTTTTTTTGGAAATTTAGGTTTCTTATTCGACAATGCTCTTCTTTAACCAGAGCCAAACCACATTTTGAGATTTCAAACCGAGCCGAGTCGAACTTCTGTTTCCGATCATTACATATACTTTCACCTAGAAACAGTGAGACCTCAACACGAGCAATGTAAAGTGAAGAAAACTCTAGAATTGTCTAAGATTTGATTCAACGTGAATTAAACAATAAGCATATCAGATTTTGTTAAAGTTGTATAAACATAGATGTGACTAATGCAGAGCTTGATGAACAGCTACTGAAATAATTATCTTCTCTCTTTTTCGTCATAATCCTTCTCTGATCAAAGAATCTACTCACCTGTGGAACCGTCACCCTTCTGCAAATTTTGACCTTTCTATATTTTCAGACGAAACACCTTAAACGTAGACATTTTGTCTTCAGCTCAGAAACTTTATACAAAAGTAACAAAACGATACCCCAAAATAAAAATAAAAATGAAAAATTTATTTAAAAACCAATAATTTATGTTAGGAAAAAATATAGTTAATTCATATACACACGTGTTTTTTTTTTGAATACTCACGTTGTTTAAATGTTGAAGAAACTGAAACTAAAACTGTAGGGAAAATGAAAGATACAAAGTGTCATTTATATATACACACGTTTTCAAAATGACATTTTATATCTTTCATTTTCCTTACAATTTTAGTTTCAGTTTCTATTGTTTTTGACCATATAGGTCCATGATTTTGACCATTCTTTTAACAAAAACGTCGGTTTTCTTTTTATCTATTCGTTACTCAGCTTCAAGAAAAACAAACTTACAAAATAAGAGAAACCAGCATATGCGAAAACCAATTCACTCCAACAAAAAGTCAAAACTAATTCCATTATAAATAATTAGCCAAACACATTACAAATTCAACAACAGTAAAAAAAAATAGAAAATTAATTTTCACAATGTGTACATCTAAAATCATAGTTCTTGGTCTCTTCGTTGCAACATTCATAGCATCTTGCAGAGCGGCCGCAAACGTCACACCGCAGCCGCTTTTTCCGGCGATTCTAATCTTCGGTGACTCAACCGCAGACACAGGCAACAACAACTACGATTCACAAGCCGTATTCAAGGCTAAGCATCTCCCTTACGGAGTTGATCTTCCAGGCCATGAAGCTAACGGAAGATTTTCAAACGGAAAGCTAATCTCTGACGTCATCGCCTCCAAACTCAACATCAAAGAGTTTGTTCCTCCGTTCTTACAACCAAACATCTCCGACCAAGACATAGTCACCGGAGTATGTTTCGCATCTGCTGGCGCGGGTTACGATGACCGGACCTCGCTCTCGAGCAAGGCGATCCCGGTTTCACAACAACCAAGCATGTTCAAGAATTACATTGCTCGTCTCAAAGGTATCGTAGGAGACAAGAAAGCGATGGAGATAATTAACAACGCTTTAGTTGTCATAAGCGCAGGGCCTAACGACTTCATCTTGAACTTTTACGATATCCCCACGAGGCGTCTTGAGTATCCTGATATCTATAGTTACCAAGATTTTGTCCTCAAAAGGGTTGACGGTTTTGTCCGGGTGATGTCTAATATACTTTTGTTTTCTTGATTGTTCGGAGGTTAGTTTTTGTAGGTTTGAGACCAATTTTGGCTATTTCTCATTTTGTTCGTCTTGTGTGTACAGGAGCTTTATAGTTTAGGTTGCCGGAATATTGTGGTCGGAGGGTTGGCGCCAATGGGATGTTTACCGGTCCAAATGACCGCTAAAATGAGAAACGTTTTGAGATTTTGTGTGGAACAAGAGAACAAAGAATCTGTCGTGTACAATCAGAAACTTGTGAAGAAACTACCTGAGATCGAAGCCTCTCTACCAGGAAGCAAGTTCCTTTACGCTAACGTCTATGACCCTGTGATGGACATCATCCAAAACCCTAGCAAATATGGTATATATCATTTCTTCCTTGTCCCGCAAGTCATCGAAACCTCACTCTTATATTAACTTATACGCAACTTAATTCATGGTGGTAAAAAAAATGGAAACAGGGTTCAAGGAGACGAAGAAAGGATGTTGCGGAACAGGTTACTTGGAAACGAGCTTCATGTGCAATGTTCTTTCAAAGACATGTTCGAATCATTCGGATCACTTGTTTTGGGACTCAATTCATCCCTCGGAAGCTGCTTACAAGTATCTTGGCAACTTTGTGGATGCTCAGATTCGAGGGTGGCTTAAGGCTTAAGTCAGTAAGTCACTACAATTTACCAAATTAATTAATTAGAATTGTATCTGTTTTGGAAATGACTAAGGCACGCATCTATGGCCCAATCCCGATGGAGCTATATGTATGCTGTATGTGACACCCTATACTATAATACAAAATATCCCGTCATACTTTTGCTGTTCTTTTTTTGTGCGGCTACAAAGATTTTTAATACGTAATCATGAAGTGAACTAGGTTGACTTCCTAAATCACGGGATTATTGGACCGTATTGGTTGGACTACTTGGTCATATCATTTTTGATACTTTATATGATACCAGTTGGTAGTACGGTTATGTGATTTATTTTTATACATTTTTGTATTAAATTTGTTATATCGTATATTTTTGAGAATTTTAAGATAAACTTTTATTTCTTATATATATTTCTCTCGAATTTTCCATCATTTTCAAATTTCTAGTTTGTAATCTACGCAACACATGAATTTAATTATCATTTTATATATTTTTATATTATATTTATTGTATCATATAGTTTTGGACATTTTGTGATTGTTTATTTTTTTTTTTCAAATTACCCATCTTGCATTTCTTGACTTATCTTAATTTCGATCAAATATTATTCATTCAAGATTATTTGATTTATTCAAACAGATAAGAAAAGAGAACATATATGATATTAGGTATCAATTTAAGAATTATTTTTTAAAAAAAAAATTGTAGAGATTTTTAAAATTTCCTCGAATTTCCGGAGTTTTCGCAAAATATTTTTTTGAAGTTGACTTTCATTGAGATTATTGAGAATTTGTAAATAGATTTTAGATAATGCAATTTTTGGAACCCCTCATCACCCCAATATCTTATTCCATTTTTATTGGATTTCCTTTATAAATTGTTTTCCATCTTTCTAATCACCAATTTCCATCACACATTCTTAAAGTTTCATTTTTAATCTTGAAAAACTCAAAACTAACATATATCATTTTTTAATTTTAATTTTATTTTTGTTTTTATTTTGTATTTTGTATTTTTTATTTTCTGACAACACATTATAATTTAATATTTTATATTTGCTATTTTTATATTAAATATTAATGTTAATATTTATTATTTTCTGTCTTTCTAATTATCAATGCCCGTCACACACTCGTAAATTTTCGCCTTGAATCTTAAAATAGTCAGAGCTAATGTATATCATTATTTATTGGTTTTTATATTGTTTTATATTGTATTTTATTATTTTTTTCTGACAACACATTATATTTTTTTATTGAATGTTAATATTAATTTTTATTATTTGGATTATATCTAATTATCAATTTATTTTACACACTCGTAAATTCTGCCTTGAATCTTGAAATACTCGGAGCTAATGTATATCATTATTTTTTATAGTATTTTGTTGATCTTTTATTTTCTGACAATATATTATAATTGTCATTTTATGTTTGCTATTTTTATATTGAACGTTAATATTAATTTTTATTATTTTATATCTTTCTAATTACCAATTTCTGTCATACACACGTAAATTTTACGTCTTGAATCATGAAATACTCAGAGCTAGTATATATCATTATTTTTTGGTTTTGCTATTTTGTATTTTGTTGATTTTTATTTTCTGACAACACGTTATAATTGTCTTTTTATGTTTGTTATTTTTTATATTGAATATTAATATTAATTTTTATTGTTTTCCGTCTTTCTAATTACTAATTCTCATCACACCCTCGTAAATTTCTGCCTTGAATCTTAAAATATTCAAAACTAATGTATATAATTATTTTTGATTTTATTTTATTTGATTTTTTGACAACATATTATAATTGTCTTTTTATTTTTTTATTTTTTTATATTGAATGCTAATGTTATTTTGTGTTTTAAAAAAATTTAAATGAAAAATAATTAATGGTATAGTTGCTGAGGTAGCAATACCAAAAGAGAGAAAAGCTTACTTTATATATATAGAAATTGAGAAATTAACATATTGCCAATTGAATTTTAAAATCTATTAGAATTTAACATGCTATCCAAGGCCAACTGAACCAATAAAGATATGTCACCCTATATGGATATTGCTTTTTTTTTTTTATAATGGAATTTTAGTTTGAGATAGATCGATATCAGCCTATGCATCTCTCGAAAAGGTGCTAATATTTCAAATTAGTTATAATGAATCAAAAACATTTGATCCTAACTCCTAATTTTCCTCCCGTTGTAATTAACTGGATCGACTAGCAGAATCAGATTGTAAAAAGAGATGAATATAATTTATACATAAAAAGGTGAAAAGCAAAAAATGTTCCACGTTGTAAAGAGTAGTTTGAAAAGATAAATGTTCCCTAACTTATCGTATGAAAACTCAAAAAAATTCCAGAAAGTTCGACTTTAATGAACTTGACAGCGACAACTTATTATGATTTTTTTTGCTGCACCGTCGAAATATTAGTCTTAAAAGGAAGAGTGTGACTGAGAGAAACATGACAAATCCAAAGCAGACAAGAAAGAATCAGTGAATAGGTTACACGTCTTCATGTGCATGTAATGTAACCACAACATTTACTCATTGAGAGAAAAAAAACATTTACTAATTGCTTGCTTCCCTACTTAATTGATTATGATTTTGATAGTTTATGATGATGCAATTGCTAACAAAACAAATCTGACGCATGAGTGACGTCGGATATGATGCCATGGGGAAATAGTATATGCATCGTTTGATTTATTTGTGGTGAGTGTTCTTTACTTTATTTAACATACACAACCTTCATTATTTTATTCATCAGAAGCCAAAACCGCTCAAATGGATAAAACCCACATTTTGTTTCTTATTCGACAATGCGTCTGTTTAACCAGAACCAAACCAAATTTAGAGATTTCAAACCGAGCCGAGTCAAACTTCTATTTCCGCTCTGGTCATTGAATAAAATCCGCCTAGAAACTCAACATGAGCGATGTGAAGTGAAGAAAACTCTAGATTTGACTCAGATTCAATGTGAATCAAACAATAAGCATATCAAATTTGGTCAAAGTTGCATAGACATAGAGGTGACTACTGCATAGCCTCCTGAGAAACATCTACTGAAACAGCACCAGACTCTTTATCATCATCTTCTCTCTTCCTCGTCATAATCCGTGGCTTCGCTCTCCACTCCTCCCAACCTCTTCTTACATCTTGCAATTGCTCATCGATCAAACCATCGTTCCTCTCCAAATGCTCAAGCCACTCTTTCCATGGAGCCTTCTCTGAATCCAAGAACCTACTCACCTGTGGAACCATCACTCTTCTGTAAAACTCCTCCACTTCTCTCTCAACTTCTTCTGATTCCCCCATTGCTTTTATCTCCGGCCTGTGGAATTTCCCTGGCGATTTACGCACTTCGAAACTGTTTCCTCTCAAGATCAGTACTTCTGATGGAGCAAGAGGCAAGACGATTCTTGTGAACTTGTTCAGAGATAGTCTAATGATGTCTCTAGGAAGCAGCTCTCTCTTCACCGCCACGGCTGTTCCAATCATCTTCCGTATCTAAAATTCCAAACATTTTACACACTATAACCAATCCAAGATTCTGCAGAAACAGAGTTTTTATATCGGTATGTCTGTAGATTACCTGATGCAACATGAATGATTCGCCCCAAATGGAGATCTCGACAAAGCCGAATCCAAGTGAAGTCTCCAGCTTTCCACAACGACATCGAAACACTTTTCTGAAATGAGCTGCGCTCAGCTTATCTGTCTCGTCTGGCTCGTGAAGCCATTTTGCACGAATGTACGCCTGAGAAGTACCAATCGCAGGAACATCTTCACTAGACTCACACTCTGCTTCTTCTTCTTCAACAACTTCTTCTTCATTTTCTCTGTGGTTTTCCTCAGTAAACTCCGGTTCTGATGCTTGGATTGATTTTGGTTTCTTTGGAGGGCGTCCGTTTCTTTGAGTTATCTTTTGTTGTGCTTTCCTTCTGTACTTCGACCGCTGTGTGTAGTTATGAAAAGGATAGTCACCCTACAAGATAAAAACAACCAATGCCAAATGAAGCCAAAAGCTTTGCCTGAAGTCTCTGAAAACTAAAAGTAACGATGAAAAGCTCTTACCTCGAATTCTTGTAAAATCTCGTTGAAATCCGAAATGTGATTGTCAGTCTCATCTGAAGTAAAGCTGTTCTTGACACCAATGACATCAACAGGAAGGAGGTAAGAATACATCCGAAGTGTACACTCCCTCCGAGGATCGAATCTCCTGTTTTAAGATACAAAGTTTTCAAATTTGTAAATGAAAAAGCATAAAAGCTCCGACTTTTCAAAAGCTCAGGACATGATTCAAGAAGTTCGCACTCACCTTTGTGACGGTAAAACGCTGAAAACTCTGATATTCTCAGGAAGATGTTTGCTAATGCATTTCGCAAGAAGAGTTCCGTGAGGATCATCCTTCCAAGCCGTCTCCGGGATCTCCATTTTCAGCGAAATTGTGGTTGCCAGAGAATGAACCTGAAACAAGTTAAACAGTGAATCAATGCATCAGAAGAGGATCATCATCAAAGGTGTGTAAAAAGAGAATAAAGCTTACTCCTTTATCCGTTCGACTACTTCTAGCCCAACCAATCTTATGAAGATCACCAAAGTTACTCTCTAAAATCCCACCAGCCTTGTATATAGCAACCTCTAATTCACCCTCAACAGCTACATTTCAAAGTATTTGAGCTCAACAGTCAACAGAAGAACATAATCTTACAACTACCAGAAGGATTAGGGTATAGGGTTTATGCTGAGATTCACTGTCGAGAGTCAAAAGCTGGCAACTTTATATGGAAAAAAAAAAATCCAAACTTTTTTAAGACAGAAAGAAAGAGAGAGAAGTAAAAAGACTAACTTTTCAGAGCAGGGTCGTCTCTTTGAATCTGCAAACCTGAATATGAAGAACAAAATTCACAAACGGGATTACGAAAGAAGGGCGCAGTGCAATATCAGAATCATACCTCTGTAATCGGTACCAACGTAGCCAATCCGAATGACGACCTTCTTCTTCCGACATGATTCCCATTTATCGGCGAGAAATTGGCCGGAGTTATCTGAAGAAGACGGTGAGAGTGAGAGGGGATGAAATGCGGCGGAAGAAGAGAATCGCACTAACGCCGGTGTGACCCGAATGAGTCGGGTCGGATACGAGAGGACCCGCGAAGAAAATGGAAGTCGTAGAAACGAGACTGCCGCCATGAGAAATGGTTCTGTTTTCTAAAACCGGCGACATAAAATAAAGAAAGATAAAAAGCTCCGGTGATTTCTTATTTCAACTGGCCGCCGTTTTACGTGTAGAAAAACAACGCACAGTGTTTAAATATATATTAAAAACATCAAGACGTTGGAAAGGTTGTAGGTGTTTTTTTGTTTAAAAAAGAAGACTGGTTTTGAAAACAGAACACTGGTGTGATCACAACTCACAAGTGGTCTGCTTGCAGCTTTAATTACTCTACAAGAAAAAACCAGTGCCAATGAAGTAACAAGAAGTCTCTGAACTAAAAGAAACGATGCAAAGCTCTCACCTCAAATTCTTAAAACTTTGTTGAAAGAGACATAACAATTAGCAATGTGGCAATGATCCAGATTCCAGAGTGCTCAAAGTTGATTTCCAAAAATAAAATAAAAAATAAAACCAAACACAGTTTATATGAATAAGAGTTTCAACATCAAAGCATTACATCTAGAGCTTTCACCAAGAGAAAATTCTTCGGAATCATAACCTGATCACACCACTGATCAACTTTACCCCAAATCTCCCCTGCTCGACGTCTTTCCAACAAAATCTCCCCACACCAACCCTGATCTGTCGTCATATCATAAGAAAAAAAAGCCAGATTCCCACCGTAACTCACAGTTACAGCCCGTGAGAAACTTGATGAACAAGTCGTCTCAGCCAAGAATTCTTCCAAACCTTGCACCTCTCCCCAACACATCTTCTTTGGATCATACGTTTTTAATCTGTTCACGTCACAATCATAGTAGTACAACATGTCATCGACCACACACGCACACCTCCACTGCATAAGACTCATCATCTCGTCCCTTTCCCATTTACTTTCCATTGGCTCGTAAACATAGGTGCTCTCACCATCTCTCACGTTCACGTACATCTTATCAGCCATCACCACCCCACCATTATACAGCACGAGACCTAGCTCCACGTCCGGCTTTATCATCTCTGGCTCCCACTTTTGTGTTTCTGTATTGAACACTACCATCATATACATATATTTTCTCATCGATGAACTCAGCGACTATAGCATTCAAGGGTATAGGCATGTTGGGAAGGGTCTGCACCTTGTGAGATCTACAATCGATGCTTAAGGCACTCGGTGTCCGTGTCATATTGTGATTGTTATAGATCGAACCAAACACATATATCTTCGAGCCCACCGCCACAGCGCATCTACCGAAATTAGTAGCGGGAAGCGAAGGGACAAGGACCAAGCTGCTACTGCCGTTGGTTTTCCGGCGGAGAATATACCAACGGTAATAATCTTCTCTTATGTTATAGAGGAAAACATAGAGACAGTGTTCGGTGCAACCCAATAAGGATCGTCTTGCGTATATCTCAGGCGAGGTAACAACTGACCGGAAATGCTTAGAAACGAGGGAGAGTGTTGGATAGTCGCATCTTGGTACGCGCGCTATGATGTCAACGATGACGTCTTCGGGAAGTGACATCATCAGAGACGGTGGTTCCCTGGATCGTTCCTTCGATGCCCTAATTTTGGTAGACACGTTTGATAAGACATGTCCCCTAATATCTTCTTATTGGCTGTCTGTGGGCCCAGTCCAAATCATTACGGACCAGACCGACCGGTTATGGGCTAAGACCGGTTAGAACATGTTAAGCGTTCAGGTAGCTTTGAGTAGAGCAGTTAAACAAGTTGGGTTTGCCTCAACAGCTAAGTAGAGAATGTGATCAAGAATACAATGTTTGCCACACAAAAATGGCGGCTAACCAAAGAGAGACTGAACATAAAACAGATAGAAACAGCTCAAGGAAGCAGATGTCAGCCTTGGAGAACATGAACTTTTTGCGTTTGAGACGCAACTTGTTCAAGAAAAGAAACGTCTTCATCATCTTTCTTTGAGTAGATTATCAAATTCTATGATCCAATCAGGTGGCACTACTCACACAGAGAAACGCTAACAGGAATGGTATATGCATCATCTATCAAAACTCTAGAATCCAAATTTAAAAGATCACTGACCATACCAGAGTTTGGTATTTTCTTTACTGGACATTCTTGGAAATTTTATCATCCCTGTAACAAAAGTGCTCCTTAGTGATGATCTTGGTGAATGTTGCGAATTGCAGCAGTGATTTTCTTGCAATCAAACTCCATCGTCTTCATCCAATTCTCAAAATCTCCGATTTCCTGTCAATTGATGGCACAAAGATACACCAGATCCACTATGAACAAACAAACAAACAAAAATCCTAAGGAAACGAAACGAGATTGTTTTTTTTTTTTTTTTTCGAAAGATAAGAAACCTTAACGGCGCTATTAACAGCGTGAGTTGCAGCAAGCCACTGATCCGTCTGTTTGCCGAATCGCGCCACCGTGACCGCCAGAGATCTTATCTCCGCCTCAATTCGCTTCTCGTTAACGAAACACTCCTCCACTCCTCCGTTCACCGCCTTCACGAGCAGATCCGCCGTTCTCGCCGCGTGTCTAATCGCCTCCTTCCTCGATCTCTCTGTATTCCATTTTGTTTCCTTCGTGATGAAATCTCACTTCTATTCTCGATCATAATCAGAATGAGCAGGCGGAGGAAATTTACTCGATATACGTACCGGTCTTTTCTCGGAGCTGTAACGACGATCGACGGTTGTCATCGATCAGCTGTAGGAGACTCGATTCCAGTGTTCCGGTCTCTTCTTCCGATCTATCCTTCTCTGTAAACGGTAACACGCGCCCACGCGCCGCTGACATTGACATCGGCGTATTCATTCTTTCTCCGGTTTATTGGTTCGGTAACAATTAATTATTTCCGACTAATATATCTTCTTTTAAGTGGCCGCCGTTTGTCAAAGAGTTAAACGACGCGCAGTTTGTAAATAAATAGAGTAAACATCACGACGTCTTGATTACGTTTTCACTTCTTGTTTCATAGCAGCAACGAGTTATTTTGAATTGGTAAATCAAGAATACAGCCACACACACAAAAAAAAAAAAATGGTAGCCACGATTGAAACCAGTTAAATAACACATATTAGATACAATAGCAGCTGAAGGAAGCAAATTAATGCAGCATGCACAACATGATCTATGTACGTTTGACGGTTTGAGAGAGAGAGAGAATGTATATAGACTATAGAATAATTGATTATAATTTTATTTGTCAAAGTAGCAGAAATATAGATTTGACTAATGTAAAGCTTGATGAGCAGTGCCAATGAAGCAGAAACAAGCTTTGCTTCAAGTCTCTAAAACAAAAAGAAAATGATGTGAAAATTTCGTTGAATATCCGAAATGTAAAAAAGAAATGAAAGAAATTAAGAACCTATTAATGTAAATATGCTTTCATTAAAGAAACAAAGAAATGTGAAAAATGATTTTTCCTTGAACTACAAGTTATTTGAATTGGTAACTATTTTTAAAAGAAACCGCAAATGAATTGGTAATCAAGACAAATGGGCGGCCAAGATTGAAACCGCAGTTAACTAAACGCAGCGTGCACAACATGATATCTATGTACGTTTGAGAGAGATACAGTATACAATCGTTATAAAACATTTTTTTCAAAGTCGAAGAAATATAAATTTGACTTAATGATGAGAAGTGCCAATGAAGCAGAAACCGTAACAAGCATTGATTGAAGTCTGTGAAACCAAAAGAAACGGATGCAAACGCGCTCACCTCAAATTCTTTTAAAAGTTCGTTGAAGCCCGAATGTAATGAATCAAGAACCGAGAAGGAAAGAAAGGACGATGCCATTCAATTATGGGACTGATTCTTTGCACACTGGATCGTAGGCAGCAGTGGCCGACTTATTCCCTTCAGCACACTCCAAGGGTTTCGATTTCTGTTCAATTTGTTTCTAATTGCAACGCAGTTGTACGATGAAAGGTTAATAATTTTGACGGTACAGGTAACTATAGAACATACCAATACACAAACAACTATGTTATGTCGATATAGGTAACCCTGAATGCAATTGTTAAATGTTGCAAATCCGCTTAAAAAGTTTTTAGTTCCATTTTCGCAAATTCAAGAAAGTAGGATTTAATCATCTCAGATTTAACGTAAAAAAAAAGCCAATAAAAATTCAAGTCTAAAGTAATTTGTTACCGCTGCAGTCCAGCCTTTCCTTTGCGTCTTCCAATTCAAACCATGGTGCCTCTCCAAATAGCTCCACCCACTACTCTTTCCATGCCGATAGAGTTTCCAGCATCAAACAACAACAGCTAGACGTTTCAAAAACTCAAAATCCCCAGTCAAAACATGACCACACCACTCAACTCGACCCCAAATGTCTCCTCCTTCACGTCTTTCCAGCGAAATATCCTTACACGAAAAACAAATCTCACGTGTTGTCCTAGGTTGATTTTCACCATTTATATAAAACAGAGCCAGTTTCCCACCGTAACTCACAGTCGCCATAATTTCCACCCAGGCAAGAATCTTTCCAAACCACCATTCACCACCACGATCATACCTTCTGAAACTCTTTTTGCGACAATCAAAGTAGTACAATACGTCCTCGACGACACACGCATTGTACCACTTCTGTAAATTCAGAATCTCGTCGGTTTCCCATTTATTTTCCTTTGGATCGTAATCAAGGCTGTTATAATAATCCCACGTGTACAGCTTACCAGCCATCACCACACATAGGGGTGGGCATTTTACCCGGATCCGAATATCCGATCCGGATCTGATCCAAAAATATCCGATCCGAACCGATCTGGATTCCACACAATATCCGATCGGGAGCATTCTTCTTTGTACTTCGGGTACCGGGTAATACCCGATCCGATCCAAAATACCCGAGTATCCGATCCAAATCTTCTTACCTTATTTTCCAACGATAACACATCACTCAATCCTATTTTGAAGCCAAAAATATAGAAAATATCTATTCACTCAATCATGATGAGTATTCATTTTCCATATCCCAAAATTTGGAATCTTTTAATTTTTTCTATGCAGCCTATGTTCCTTCCGACACATCAAAAAATCAATTTCGGTCTCAGATATGGAATTTCTCACACTCCATCAGAGTATATCGATTTCTTCTTATGTATATGTTTGGTGCTTTTAGTTTTAATTTTTTTTCTTTGTGTCGATTTACTGTTTTTTTAACTCTGAAATTTATTGTTTCTCTTAATTAACAATTCAAGTTTGTCTCTTTAATCTCTGTTTCTGGGTTTTTGCAACAAAGATTTAATAATAGTATGATGAAGAAGAAGCATGAATTATTCAGAAAACAGAGCAGTTGTTCAACTATTGTTTGTATGTGTGTGTTTGTATTTACTTATTTCAGGATCGATACAAGTTTGAGTATCCATACAAATTCATTTTGAGAATGGATAGAAGTTTGTATTTACTAATTCCAAATAATAATTGTTCAAAAAATTGATGTTTGAAGTTGTTATTATTTACATTGTTAAATTAAAAATTATACATAAGTGTAAGAGCTTTTTGTAAACCTTTTTGAGTTTCTGCAATTTGCAGAAAGTGAAGAAGAAGATATCAAGAAGTTCTTTACGTTTAGTTTTATTTTTCCAATTTCTTTCTTTCTTTTGATGTTTAGTTTCGTTTGCAGTGTTTTCAAAATTCAGCTATTTCATTATTATTTTGAAGTATTTTAGTTACTTTTGGATAAAGATACTTGAATCCAAATTGAATCTGAAAAAAATCGGATCGGAAATATAATATCCGAACCAATCCGAATCCGGAGAGATCCGAACCGAATCCGATATGAATTTTAAAAATACCCGATCGGTACTAAAAATTATAGTTTCGAAATACCCGAAATCCGAAATACTCGATCCAATCCGATCTGATAACCTGAACGCCCACCCCTAACCACACATTCATCTAGATCAATGTCTGCCTTTATAACCCTAGGCTCCTCCCACTTTTGTGTTTCTGTATTGAACACCTCCATCACCTTCTTCGGGTCATCGTCACAACCACTGTTTCCAATTACGTAGATTCTCCCGTCGATGATGCCAGCCATTGTATCAGACATGAGAACAGGTATGCTCGGGAGAGGTTGCACCGTGTGAAATCTACAATCGATGGTTAGCGCACTCGTTGTCATATTGTGTTTGTTAGTCCCACCAAACACATATATCCTCGAGCCCACCGCAACAAAACTTCCATCGTAAGGTATATGGGGAAGCGATGGGATAAGGACCAAGCAGCTATTGCTGTTGGCTTTCTGGTGGAGAATTGACAAACGGTAAGCATGGGTTTCATAATTAAAGAGCGCAACATAGAGACAGTGTTCGGTGCAACCTAATATTATTCGCCTCGCGTATATCTCAGGCGAGGTAACAACTGACCGGAACTGCTTAGAAACTAGGGAGAGAATTGGATAGTATTATCTTGGTACACGCGCTAAGATATCAATGATGATGTCTTCGGGAAGTGACGGTAGTGTCGACGATTGCTTCTTCCGTGCCCTAATTTTGGAAGACATGTATACAGATCAACAATCGCCCAAATCTCAGTGAGAAAATATATGAAACCCTAATTTGAGGGCTCGTATCAATAATGAAATATTTGAGAACGAGCTTTCGTTTACTATAATAATATATTAAAATATATTTATTTATTTTAAAATATTCATTACAATTAGCCCATGCCTCTCATTAACCTTAGATAGTTCTCATTCCAAAAAAAAAAAAAAACTTTGTGATTAGTGAAAGTCAGAAAATCTCTTGTTCTCCATGAAGCTCTTGGTTCTTTTTTCCTGACGGAAATTTGTGTTTCACTTTGGTCTGTTGGTCAAGATATGTGTTATTGTTCGTACGTGAAGTCTTTGCTCAACAAGGTTCTTGTTCGTGATTGGTGAACTTTGCACCTACGTTTGTTTTATCTTTCGTTGGAGAAATAATGGAAATTGAGCTTCGTGTGTTGCTTGTTTTCCACATTACTTGAAGCATGGATTGTTGGTCGGTTTGATCTCTTCAAGTTTTTGGAACTTTATGGCCAGGGCCGGCCCTGGGCTAAAGCCGGTAAATCACCAGCTTTAAGCGCCAAATTGTATATATAAATTCTTCTAGGGACCGGCACTGTTTGTGGCCGCTGTTTTTGGGATTAATTTATTTCAGCAATTTTGAGACTTGTTCCTTTGAAACCTTCTGGCTTTCTTTGCTATGAATTATAGTGTAGCTCGTTATGAAGTTTCCTATTATTATGATTCAAGGAAAGCATCGAATAGTTATACAAATTCAGAGCAATGCTGCCTATCAGTAACAGCCAATGGAAAAATCACCTTAATAAATTCCAAGAAACCAAATTCGTCTTTATGGTGCCAATACGCTTTTATGTTGCTCGCTTGTTGAAAGGAAAGCCTGTGTAATGTGTATAGCAATTTTTACTGATAAGTTTTGTTATCTCCAAGACCTAGTTAAAAAAGGACTTTGATTGGAGTTGGGGCTATAGAAACCCTAGTATATTATGATTAGTGAACTCAAACCCTAAACGTTTAAACCGTAGTCAACTTTTTCAAAAAATTGACCGATTTCTTACCAAGGTCTCTGGAGAAATTTCAGTTTAAAAAAATTACTAAAAATAGTTATCTTTGTAACCTATTTCTGAGACAATCTTTACCAATGTTAAATGTTGAAGAAATTAGCAATGGAAAAAACATGATTTTAAAAGGCGATCTCAATTTACTTTACTCCCTTCTTCTTTTGAGCTGCTTTAGGTTTACTATGCTTTCCTGCTACTATACTTGCCCATTTGGAAGGTCCTACAGCTTGGATATCTTCCACAGATGCAACTTTTTGTTTTTTTATGACCCAATAATCCAGAATTAAGAAACTTATGGCAAGAGATTGGCGAAGCTATGTAAGAATGTCTCATCTTTTCTTCCAAATAAGCAATTTACAAGTAGCTAAATCACAGTATTATGAAAATTACCTCAAATTTCGACAAATTCTCAAATACACAGGATATTTCAGAGATTGAAACTGAATCCAAAGACCAATGAGATATTCTTAAGCTAGAGGCAAACTCTTTCACATCTCCAACGTAAAAACCAATCACAAGTAGCCATATGAAGGATAGATCTTGAATCAAACCATAGCAGCTAGAGGTTTCGCAAACTTAATATCTCCAGTCAAAACATGATCACACCACTCAACTTGACCCCAAATGTCTCTTCCTTCACGTCTTTCCAATGAAATTTCAGTACACGAAGACCAAATCTCACGTGTTGTACTAGGTTGATTTTCACCATTTATATCAAACAGAGCCAGTTTCCCACCGTAACTCACAGTCGCTGGCCGTTGAGACCACTCAGGCAACAATCCTTCCAAACCACCATTCACCACCACTCCCCAACATCTCTGCTTTGGATCATACCTTCTTAAACTCCTCTCGTCCCTATCGCAGTAGTACAATATGTCATCGATGACACACCCATTGTACCAATCCTGTAAATTCAGCATCTCGTCTGTTTCCCATGTATTTTCCCTTGGATCGTAAACAAAGCTGTTATCAGAATCCCTCATGAACAGCTTACCAGCCATCACCACACAGCCATAATAAGACGTGGCACTTAGATGAATGTCTGCCTTTATAACCCTAGGCTCCTCCCACTTTTGTGTTTCTGTATTGAACACCTCCATCACCTTCTTCGGGTCATCGTCACAATAGCTATTTCCAATGACATATATTCTCCCGTCGATCATGTCTGCGATTGTATGAGAAATTATCATAGGTACGCTGGGGAGAGGTCGCACCGTGTGAGATCTACAATCGATGGTTAGCGCACTCGTTTTCCTATTGACATTGTTAATCCCACCGAACACATATATCCTCGAGCCCACCGCAACAAAACTTCCACCAGGCGGCAGAGCAGGAAGCGAAGGAATAAGGACAAAGCGGCTATTTGCTTTCCGGCGGAGAATATACAAACGGAAATCACTAGTTTTTATGTTATAGAGGGGAACATAGAGATAGTGTTCGGTGCAACCTAACAATGATCGCCTCTCGTATATCTCTGGCGACGCAACGAGTGATCGGAAGTGCTTAGAAACTAGGGAGAGTACTGGATAGTCGCATCTCGGTACACGCGCTAAGATGTCAACCATGATGTCTTCGGGAAGTGACGTCATCAGAGACGGTGGTTCCAAGAAATTACTTCTTCTCTGCCCTAATTTTGGAAGACATGTCCAGATCAACAATCATCCAAGTCTGAGAGAAAAGAAACTAAACCCCAATTTGAGGATCAATCAAATCAACAATGAAATGTTTGAGAGCGAGCTTTCGTTTAGTATAGGATATACATCAAAATGTATAAATTCCATTAAAAATATTCATTAAAAAGAAAAGTTTCCTAATTGTTAGGAGAAATTGGGCTTATGTTGTTAGCCCAAGCTCATTAATCATAGATATACAGTATGAAGTTTGTGATTAGTGAAAGACAGTAAATCTCTTGTACTCCGTGAAGCGCTTGTTCTTTATCCTGCTCGAAATATGGGTATAAATATTGAGCTTTCCCTTCAGATGTTCTAGTCAAAAATACTCTTTGAAGCTCTTGTTCTTTATCCTGCTTGAAATTTGGATACTCTTGTTCTTTGTGGGAAATTATGTGTTGGTGGATCCAGGCCCGACTTTGATGGACGGCGAGAGGGGCACAGGCCCAAGGCCCACTTCAGATTATATTTGAATGTAGTTATGAAACGATAAATGAAAAAAAAATTGGTTTTAAGTTTGATACATTATCTTCGTATTCTGATTCCAAACTTGCAGTTTTTTTTAATCTTCAGTTGATTTTCTTCGAACGCTTTCCAGCTTATTTTTCTGTTGTCTCTGTTCTGGGTTCGGCTTTGTTTGGCTGCTAAGACTTCTCTTCTCTCCAGATCTGTTATGATTTGGTTGTTTTCTTTATGATTTCTATTTATGTGAAACTAGACACATGTGTTTGTGTCGCTGCTGCATCCGGAAATGTGTTTGTGAATCTGTTTATGGTTCTTTCTTGGTGGATTATGCAGTCTTCTGTTACTGGTTTCAAGAAGTTGATGTTACTGTTCGATGGACTGTGGGCGGTAATAGTAAATCACATTTGTAAATTTTCTAAATTCTAAATATTTACAGGTTTTGATGTTAATATCTTATTTGAGTTTTACTTAAATTATTTCTGTTTAAGTTGTGGGTTTTGTTTTGAGGAAAATTTGTTTTCCGCCGGTTTAGCTTCCAGGGATATCTAATTTTTCCGTTGACTTTGAATTACAGATATATTGGGTGTTTGAGACTTTTTAACCAAAGATCTTCAATGATTTTTTGAGTCAAAGTGTTTATTTTAGAGTATTTTAGTCATTTATAGTCTTTTCAAGTTTTAGGCCGTTTTGGAAGAAAATGAGTCGTTTTGGGTGCCAACGAACATATGTGGATACAGAACTATGCATTTGGAAGTGGTTTGAAGTCAATCCAACGGTGCGATCAAAAGTTATGCCAGTTTTTGTGAGAGCAGTCCAGTCTAGCATGTGCAGAACGCCGAAAAACTTCCCGAGAGAAACTAGATCAATTGATAGGACATCCGATCGATCGATACGAAGTTCAAGAATCACCTGAGACATTTTAGATCGATCGATCTAGGAGGGATTGATTGATCCGTGAGGCCATGGATTTCCCGAGAGGATTTAGATCGATCGATCTGGGATCTTAACCAGCCGGTTTGGTCGCTCAGGAAATAAGAAAACTTCGGGTTTTTCTTATTCCAACTTGGCTTTTGACAATTTCTCACTCAATTTGTTCCTATCAATACATGATGAAAGACAAAATGGCCGGGGATATTTTTTAGTGCAAACACCATTCTCCATACAAGAGTTATTTGGTCTATTAAGTTCATATGTTGTTCTACTAATTCATAACCTTCAGGATCAATTACTCTATAAGGCAATTCAACAGTAACATATTTTTCAATATCAATTGAGGAAGCAATATCACATCCACATTTTATCATATAAGAATATATGCATGGGGGATACCCCTTTTTTGAAACTCAATTGTATAAACTACTGCAGAAAAAAGAAAAAAAATCAGTATAAAAATAATTAGATTTTATCTAAATAATTTTAAAACCCAAACATAAATATATGAACCTCAATTTATTGGTCCAAAAAAATTATTCTTTTTAATTAAAACCATTAACTCATCTAATTTTAAATGAAAAACTCGTGATTTAGTATCAAGCCTGTCACCAGTAATTTCTAAATATTTATTTATTTAATTCCATTTAGGATTAGCAGTCATGATAATAAATAAATTAGGATTTCTAAAACAACGACAAAACGCCATTGCATCTTGATATTTTCTGTCATATATCTTAGACTTTCAGTAATTGATGATGGCAATATAATTCTCTTACGAAGACTACATGGATCTTGATCTCCCTTTGATATGACGTCCTTTACATTATTATATACATCAGCTCTTATTGCCTTTTCATTAAGTTTAATAAATGTCAGACGGCTTGCCTCAATAGATGTAAACGCGTCTACAACATATTGATGAAATAATCTACCACTTTTTAGAATAGTGGATGCTTAGATGTTTCTATTATGTATATGATACATATAATATTCTGTCATTTTAACATAGCCATTATTGTGATCGGATGATGACCTTTGAATATATGGTATTCCTTCGAAAAACCCAACATCTCCATAAGGAAATAATAATGGATATTGCAAAGTCATATAAAGAGGATGAGTTGCCAAGATTCTTTGAAAATTGCCTAATTTATGTTGAAGAAGAACATCTCATTCGCCAATAGTTTTAGAAAAATCACCGATTATTAAACCTGCTATCTCATTAGCTGATGGCAGATTATATTGTCTTTTCGTTATATCATATCCTATCATATGAATTTTCATTTCACAAATATGACCACTTTTATATCTATCTCTAGCTTTTCTAAAACTTTTAGCTAAAGTGTTATTTTCATCAAGCATATTAATTAAGGATGATAAAAAAATTTCATCTAATGAATTTTACCTTCTCGATTCATAATTGATAATCGATTTTGTAATTTGTTAGATGTACCAAATATATACATCTGCAAGAATTTAAGCTTTTCACCATCAATTGGTAAAAAAATCCAATACTATGATAATTTTCACCATGTACTTTAAAACAAAATGGACCACCAGAATTTAAGATTGAATAATCTATTTCAGCACCCATATAACACATAGAGAGCATTGAATTAAAAACTCTAATGTTTTTCTTAAATGTGGGATCACATAAAAGGTTTTTTAGCACAAGAGGAGGCTCTTATATATTTGGTAATTTTACACGACTTTGTTTACAACAAATAATAAATAAAGGATGTTTTGTAATACGATCTTTTTCTGTACTCTCACCAAACCATAATAAAGCATTACAATCTTCACACCTCATTAATTTATTATGTTCTAATTTTTATAACCTTTTTTTCTTGCCTGCCAAACATTTCATAATATTATTAAAACAAATTTTAATTTTAATTAATTAATTATATAACAAATATGTAAATATCTTTAATTTTTTTTCTTCTGGAAGTTGGCAATATTTTCGTTTTTTAAACCTATTATTCCAGAAAATAAAACTTACTTAAGAAAATATTTTAAATTAATTATTAATTAGTGACTAAAGTTTATTTTAACAAACCATTAGAGAATAGAGCATTGTAACTTTCTCTACCAATTGCTTCAGATCTTTCAACATCCATTAGCATATTTACACATTCTGAAATAATAGTAAATTTAATATTATATTTTATTATATTTAAGATTATATACTATATTATTATTATAGTATATATATAATAAAAAAGTGTAAATACCTGCATCTTTAATTTTTAATGGACATCCTAAAATAAAATAAATAAAATAAAATTAAGAATAACAATTCATAATAACACAACTAAAACTTAAACCTATTAAAATAATAATTAAAATTAATGCTTTGTTCGTTATAAAATTCTGGCATCCCAATATTTATATTTTCATTATTTTTGTATTCAATTCCAGACGCATTATAAAACTATTTGATTTATGTTTTTGAAATACTGACATCTTATGTTATCTATAAATAATAATAAAAATATTTTAAGAAGTTCTAAGTTTAATAATATTTTTTGTTCAAAATGAAAAGTTAGTTTAAAGTGAAAAATCACAACAATAAATTTGTTGGTTACTTAAAACTGAATGATGAATTGTAAATTTGGATGATGATTGAACCTTACACAATGACACTTCCCTTAAAAAGTATTTCGACTTTTATCAAGCTTTAAGTTAGACAAAAACCCTTGTAGTATAAAACACAGTCTAATGGTGATATGTGTTTTTCCAGAACTTTTTTATGATCTTTTGGAATAGTGAAACTCTCTCTTACTTTCTTTCTAACTTTCTTTGCTTCAATTTGTTTTCTGTTTTTGTTATGATTTTGGAAATGCCCACAACTCCTTTTATAGGAAATCAAAGGTCACTTCCAAAGATTACAATGGTTGATTAGGGTGCATTGACTGATCATCAACGGATGCAATGGTTAGTCACCGAATAATGTAATCATACGCCCAACAATTGCAACGGTTAGTAATCGAAATGGTTGCAAATATTCATTTTACCAGTTGCAACAGTTCTTCAATATGTATATGTTAGGCAGATATAATAAATCTAATCTTTACCGTTAAATCAGGAAAAAAAAGATTGTTAACCATTAGATTGATTTTTTTTTTAGCAACCAAAATGAAAAGTCACAATAGTTCATAAAGCTGTAATGTTTTAAGTATAAAGTTGCAATATTTTAATTATGTGTCTGTTTAGATCACATATATACTTTTTTAACATTTAGAAGATGATTTTAGCAATCAAATCCTAGCCATTAAATTTTCAAATAAAAACTAACCAAAACAACGTCAACCGTTAGATTTATCATTTTTTCTATAAAAGAATGATGACAACAGCAGTTCAAAACAAATATTTTGCTATTACATATAGATGCTATCGTCGGTGCTGATGACAGCCATTGTATCAGACATGGGTATAGGCATGCAGGGGAGATGTTGTACCATGTGAGATCTACAGTCGATGCAACCTTTGTCCCACCAAACACATATATCATCGAACCCGCGGCGACAAAGATCCCATCGCGAGGCATAGCGGGAAGCCAAGGGATAAGGACCAAGCGGCTATAGCCGTTGGGTTTCCGGTGGAGAACATACAAACGGCTATCACGGGTTTCTCTGTTATAGAGGACAGCATAGAGACAGTGTTCGGTGCAGCCGAATAAGGATCCCCTCATGAATATCTGAGGCGACGCACCGAGTGACCTGAAGTGCTTGGAAATGAGGGAGAGTGTTGGGTAGTAGCATCTTGATACACGCGCTAAGATGTCGAGGATGATGTCGTCGGGAAGTGAAGTCATTATAGACGGTGGTTCTGTGGATTGCTCCTCCTCTGCCCTTATTTTAGATGACATCTTCAGATCAGTTATACCACCTAATCTCAGAGAAAAAATCATTAAACCCTAGATTTATGCTCAAATCAACAATTAGATTAGATATATATATATATATATATATATATATATAGAGAGAGAGAGAGAGAGAGAGAGAGAGAGAGAGAGAGAGAGAGAGAGAGAGAGAGAGAGAGAATGTAAGCCTTATCTGATGAAACAAGAGAATCAAACGAAAGATCTAAAAAGATTTCTTAGATTTGCTTATCTGATGTGTTTTTAAGGCTTTCCGGTAGTTCTACATACTATTTGGTAATTATAAATTTTGCATAGACAACAACTTGTGACTATAACTTCCAAGGATTTGATGTCAGTAACAAGGAGAAAACATGATTTTAAAAGGCAATCTTTATCAATGTCAAATGTTGAAGATGGTTAACTCTGTTCATGCATCTTGAACATCTCTGTACCTTCCCTTCTATTTTTAAGCTACTTTAGGTTTACTGATACTAATAGTGGAAGCTGTGTTAGAATGTCTTATCCGTTTTTTCCAAGTAAGCTATACAATTTACAAGCAGCTGAATCACAGTTCCATGAAAATTATCTCAGAACATTTCATAGAATTCTCAAATACACAGGATATTCCATGACTTGGTAAAAATAAGTATCAGAAATTGAAACTGAATCCAATGACCAGTGAAATATTCTCAAGCCAGAGACGAGTTCTTTCATCTCCAAAGTAAAAACAAATCACATGTCATATGGAGGACATCGAGTTCTTTCATCAAAGCATAAAAAATTTCGAAAAAACAAAACACAAGTTATATGAAAGAAGAGTTGTTGCATCAAACCGTAACAGCTACAGGTATCGTCAAGTCAGAATTGCTAGTCAATATATGATCACACCACTCAACTTGACCCCAAATCTCTCCTCCTTGACGTCTTTCCAGCAAAATCTCCGCACACCAAATCTCATTTAGGTTTCCTCTTTCTCCTTCTTCAGTAAAAAGCAAAGCCAGTCTCCCACCGTAACTCACAGTCCCAATGTTGAATAAACATGAATCCGTCTTAGCCAACAGTTTTTCCAAACCATTCACCACTCCCCAACACCTCTGCTTTGGATCATACCTTCTTAACGCGTTCTCAACATAATCATAGTAGTACAATACATCATCGACGACACACGCATACTCCCAATCTTTTAAATTCAGCATCTCGTCTCTTTCCCATTTATTTTCCTTTGGCTCGTAAACAAAGCTGTTATCATCATTCCTCGTGTATAGCTTCTCAGCCATCACCACCCCAAAACCAGACCACGTGCCAAAGTCTATATTGAACACCACCATCGCAGGTTCCTCCCACTTTTGTGTTTCTGTATTGAACACCACCATCACCTTCTTCCAGTAATTATCACAATAGCTATCTCCAGAAACGTAGATTTTCCCGTCGATGACGTCAGGCATTTTAGCATACACTGGCGCAGGTATGCTGGGGAGAGGTTGCACCTTGTGAGATCTACAATCGATAATCTTACTAATTTCACCGAACGCATATATACTCGAACCCACCGCGACAAATCCTCCACCGTAAGGCATAGCGGGAAGCAAAGGGATAGGGACCAAGCGTCCATCGCCGTTGGCTTTCCGGCGGAGAATATACCAACGGTTATAATTGGTTTTTAGGTCATAGAGGACAACATAGAGATAGTGTTCGGTGCAGCCCAACAATGATCGTCTGACGAATATCTCTGGCGACGTAACGAGTGAACGGAATTGCTTTGAAACGAGGGAGAGAGTTGGATAATTGTTTCTCGGTACTCGCGCTAAGATGTCAACGATGACGTCTTCGGGAAGTAACGTCATTAGACACGGTGGTTCCGAGAATTGCTTCATCTTTGCCTTAATTTTGGAAGACATGTCCAGATCAATTATATTACCCAATCTCTGAGAGTACAGATACCAAAACCCTGATTTTAGGCTCAAAGCACCGAGAGAGAGGGGCAGGCGTAAAACCATATTCGCTTCAGAGAGTTTCGATTTACTTAAACACCTCACCTAATATTGTTGTTATCATCTTATTTTTTGTTTAGTTCCACTCTGATTTCTTGCCGCCTAAGATATATAAAAGAACAAATAAAGACACAGATACCCTAGGTGAAGCTGGGCCAATCTAGTCGTGGGCTTCATAATCTAGTCGGGCTTTTAGGTTGATGGTCTTGTTCGCAAGTAAAGTCTTTTGGTCAACAATGCTTCTTGTTCGTAATTGGTGAATTTTGCACCTGTACGTTTGTTTGATTTTTGGTAGGAGAATATTGGAGATTGAGCTTCGTGTGTGGCTTGTTTTCCACATAATTTGAAGCATCGATTGTTGGCTGGTCTGATCGGTTCAATTACGTACCGATCTTTTCTCGGAGCTGTGATGAAGATCGACGGTTATCATCGATCAGCTGCAGCAGGCTCGATTCCAGCGTTCCAGTCTCTTCTTCCGTTCCCTCCTTCTCTGAAAACGGTAGCAACGCGTCCACGCGCAGCCGAAATTAAATTGGTTCGGTAACAATTAATTTATTGCCGACTATTGCTGGTTATCGAATACGCGCCGTTTATGTACAAAGAAACGTCATGCATTCTCGCGTTCCAGATTTTCGTTTCATACACTTGTCAGATACTAGAAACTTTGTAATTAGAGCATCCGTATCGCTTTACGATGGAGGTGGTCTTATATGACTGTATGAATGATGGGTTATATGACTATGAATGATTGGTACAATGATGTGGCCGCTGTGACCCAAAATCTAAGAAATGTTGTTGCACGTATTGATAGAAAGAATCATTTCTTTGTATCGAATAATTGAATATTTAAGCGTTGTTGATTTATGTTTTTTTTTTTATTTTTTTTAATCAAATTATGGTTATTTCTCTTTACTGTTTTTTAGTTATGAATTCAATGAAATAAAACCTTTTTCTGTTATTTTCAATTCTTATTGATCATATTGGTAGAACATTTTTTATTCTAAAAAAGGTTTAGCAACTTTTAAAAGAATATACTCTCTCTTATTTTTATGTTTTAAAAGAACACTGAAAACATTTATGTTTTCAATGCATTTTTATTCGTTAGTGATAATAAAAATGTTGTTTCAAAAAAACATTTAAATTTATTAAATAACTATTGGTTAAAATTTGTTAGGAATTATTAATCACAGGAAATAGAATATTTAACGTAAAGATTTAATATATTTTTTTAATATATTTAAAATTTCTAAAACATCTTTGTTTTAACAATAGAGAGACTTCTCTCTTTCTTCTTTCTCTCGTATCTTTCAGAGGGAGAGAATGCTTTTTTTTGTTTCCGTTTGATTGGATAATAATTTCCGGCTGAGTTCGGATTTCTTTTGTTTATACTTTTTCTGTCAATCGGATTTTTGTTTTCTAACGCCCTTTTGCATGTTCTTAACAATTTCTTATTTGGAAGTTGTGAATTTTGGTCGATTTTGTGAAATCTTCTCATCTTTCCGATTAAGCTTGATTTAATTTCTTCTAGAGAAATTTTTCTTTTTTCCATTACGTATTTGATTTCAGTAAAGTTTCTCTTGTGAAGTTTTTGAATCGAGAGTTAGGGCAATTATTTGGTGGTTCGGATTCAGCTTCAGTAGAGCCGGCGTTTTCATAGCGGCCCAGCGAAGTTCTGATTTTTTTCTTCCAAAGTTTCACGTTGTTTTAATTTCGGGTGATGTAGGTGTGGATCTCGCAATATCTCCAGTGATCAATTGCAAAAGGAAGGAGCAGAGGTTTTCAGCAGCAGCTTCGTGATCGGTGCGGTTTCAGGTGGCGAAAAGCACTGGCGGTGATGGAAGATCGGTTGTTGCACTTGTCTTTTCTATTTTCGACACGTGTTCTCGGTTTAGTTTCTATTGTAACATGTTCCAGGACACGTGTTCTAAACTAGGGTTTTGGTCCGATTGGACTTCAATTTCGTTTCTTTGTATTGGGGCTTAGACATGTATTTCTGCTCTACCCCATGTGGGTTAATGAAATCAAGTTGCCGACAAAAAAAAAAAAAACAATTAAGAAAATATTTATATGGATTGTACATGTGTAGGTATCAAGCCAACGAAAACTGATTCTTACATTCTTAATGGCGCTATGTGTGGTCCAAGATATCACTATCATGAATCCAATCATGACTGTTTGATAGATGGATAGAATGATGGAAAATGTGATCTAAAATCTAATAGATGTTGTTGTACCGAACCAAAAAAAGTTTCGGCCGACGGTGCATCTCACGCGCCTATCTTTTCTCTCTCAATTTTTTTCCTCGCCGGTCTCAGTTTTTGATCCCAGGTCTCGTTCGGGCGCTGGTGGCTTTCTCAGCACCGGCGCCTGCCTCTCCTGCTCCTCTTGTGTCTATGCTCTTCTTTTCTTCCTCTAGCCGCCGGTTTGGTTGCCGCAGCTAGTGAAGGTTCTTCGGCGTGGGTTCTCGTTTCACGGCGGCGCGAGCTCAGCGGCGTCGTTGGGGTCGCGGTGTTGGAAGATTGTCTTCTCGTGTAGACGGCGCTCTCTCCTTCATCACCTCGTTTCTCTGTCAGTGGACTCTTCCTCCTGTTGCTCTCCGATGTTTTCTCCTTCCGGCTGGTTCGGCTTTAGTTTTAGAGCCTCTCTTGCTTGAGGCGTGCTCTCCGGCTTTCTTCGGGGGTGGCTCTTGGCATTCTCCGAGTTTGGTCTCTCCCCTGTTCCGTCTCTCGAGGCAGCGGAGTGGACGGCGTTTGTAAATCTGAGTTCTTAAGCTTCCGGTGGTGGTGATTTGTTCCTAGAGGACGGGTTCATTCGACATCGATTGGTGTTTAAAGCTTGTTTCTAGTGGCTAGCCACGGAGTGGTGGCTCTCGCCTTCTCTCGGCTCGAGTGGCTCCATCAGCGGTGTCTCTTTGCGGTGGTGTTAGGCGTGTGGCTCGACGGATGCTCTCCTCAGTTTGGTGGACGATTCTGGCGACGTCTTCGCCATCCGTGTGGCCTTAGTTTCCCGCAGGTGTGTGTTTTGTTCCCTAGCTAGATTCAACAATGTGCATGGCCGTGGCTTGGCTTCGGTTAGGGTGGCTCCGAAAGTGGTTCGGTGGTGAAGTTTGAGCGAACTCGGACGTTAAATAGAGGTGGTGGTTCTGTCCACACGTTTTTCTTGTTTCTGTGGGAGTTGGTTCCTGCGTTTGTTTTGGCATTCTCAAGATTGGTGGTCGGAAGCGGAGGCGCTCATTCGATTGCCAGACTCCTATGCCGACAGTTGCAAGTGGTCCGTTTGGTGAAACCGGAGATAGCGTCAGTTCTTGGAGAAGCTGTGGCATTTCTTTCTGAAGTTTGAGGGCTTGCTTCAGAGGATGCTCGTGGCAACAAAGATGAGAACTCCAGTTCTTTTTGAACTGTGGCTTAAACGCGATCGTCTGCGCTTTGGCAAGGCGTTTGATTGCTGTTTTTTCGTTTGGTTTCGTTTAGTTAATATTGTTTTTCTCTAACAGTTTCCTAGCCGTCTTCTGTTTATTGATGTTTCTTTGTTATTTTCGTTCAGTTGTTTGTAGATTTTGGTCATTCCGTTTCTCTTTGTTGTATCTCTATAACGCTGTCACAAAATCAAAATGATATAAAATTTCACATTTTACCAAAAAAAAAGATGTTGTTGCATCTATTAATATAAAGTTATAAACCAATCATCCTCTTAGTAATTGATGATTTGAGAGCCGAGTATGTTTATTGTTGCTTTTTAATACTCCCTCAATTTTATAAGAATGTTATTCAACTTTTTCACGTATATTAAAAAGTTAATAAAAAAGTATTTTTTGTTTTTTTATAGATATATTAAATAATTTTGTTTTTAATTAATATATTAATATAACAAGATTAAAACTAAATTTATTGTTTAAAATTTTAAACTAGAAATATAAAAATACATTTTTATAAAATATAAATAAAATTCTAAAACGATACTTTTTATGAAATGGAGAAAGCATTTTTGAGTTATGAATTCAACAGAATAAAATTATTTTTTACTATTACTTTTATGAGAGTAACAATTTTTTCGGCATATCAACAATAAAGGATGAGACTTAACATCTTTTGACAATCCAGGTTGAGCAGCCTTTGATAAGAAACATAACCATCATCTCTTTGTCCATAGTTGTCGACATTATTTAGAGTGACTGAAAAAATTCTTCCAAAAAAACTGTTTCTTCACGCAAGAATGAAGAAGATATAAAGATAGATATAATTTAGAGCATTTGCATCAATGGTATGAAAGAGAGTATCTAAAAAATTAAATAATAAAATAAGGTTTTTGAATGAAAACTTTTTAAATACTCTTAGATATCTCATTTAGCCTTTACTTATGTTCTAATGGTTCAGTTTTTTTAATAAAAGTTAAATTCTCTAACTCAATTCTATTTAAAAATTATTATTTTTAGTTGAAAACTTCAAAAGAGTATCTAAACTAATAGAAATAAATAGTGAGAATTAAATTTTTGCAATTAAATGAATGGATTTTGCAATTAACTGAATGGAGTTATTTGTAAGATCTTTTCTACTTATAACATTGACTTTTGACTACGTATACTATATGTCCATATCTTTAGAATCCATAATATAAAAAATAAATTGACTGTATTATCATGATATGCATGATTAAAATAAAAAAATACAAACACATGCTAATATTTTCTTGCTTATAAAATTATATTCTCGCCAAATATAGAAGATTCATTTACGGTCAACTTAAAAATAAAAGATTGAATGAGTTTTTTTTCTACAAAATAACATATAAATAAAGCTTTTATGAATAGCTAAAACATTATTAAGAATCTTTTTTTTTTAATAGAAGAAACCAAAAAAATCATATAATGAATACTACAAACACTCTTGTGGCTTTATTTTGGATAGTAGTGTTAGCAATCTCGTTGTCTAATTACAATGCTTTGGCTGTATCACGTAGAATGTTTTTACAATAAATAAATTTTTTATTACTATTAATTATATTAAAAG